TATTCCTCCCTTCGCCGCGCCTCCCCAAATCGTCCTCCACTTCTTTCCCGCCCCTTCTGTCCGACGTTTTGTATTTCCGGAGCCTCCACGGCCGCTCTCATCGCCGCTGATCGGTCCGCTGGGACATTCTCATGGAGTCCCAGTGGCGCGCGGACCAGCAGAACGAGGGCGCGAGCAAGTAAGGTGCAGGTCCGGGAACTGGGCGCGAACCAACCGCGGTTCAAAGACCGTGGAGGGCCGCGCTAGACGCCAACGCGCGCAAGGGTTGAAGGACCAAGGTGCATGGCGCGAAGCGCCAATGCAGTCTTGTGTATATATATATACATATATGTATGTGTATATATATATATATGTATTCCACCCGCGTTTGAACAATGTTGGCGTTTCCGCCTGCTCCGCTTCCCGACGCTGCTAAACAACCCAAGAGGCTCCGAGGTTCGCTCCAAAACGGCCCAATAGGCTTCAAAAGCGCCCCAAGACGGACCAATGTAGGTTTCAAAGGCGCCGAAGAGACGTCCAAGAGACGGCCCGAGAGGGCCCCAACCGCGGCCCAGGATCGGGAACGTGGACCGAGAACCCGAGATCTTCGCCCCAGGAGATCCCCAAGAGGCTTCAAGAGGTTCCCAAGAAGCCCCAAAGAGGCCCAAAAGAGCCGCAAGAGAGGCCCCGAGGGCACTTGAGAAAAACGGGAATTCCAACATGTTTGTTTTAGTTCGCCTGGCAGCTTCGCTACGCTTCCAAAAAAGGAAAATCTGTTTTCCTCCTCCTCCTCCTCCTCCTCCTTCTCCTCCTCCTCCTCCTCCCTCTCCTCCTCCTCCTCCTCTTCCTCCTCCTCTGCGGTCTCCTCCACCCTCTTGAATTCCTCCTTATCCTCCTTCTCCTTCTCCCCCAGGGAACCCCATTCACCTCCCCTTCTCCTCCCTCTTCCTCCAGCTACTTCCAACCGCGGCGAATACAAGGGCCCCCGAAGTGCCTATTGGGCCTGTTTTAAGCCGCCGTGGGTGGACCGTAGGAAGTCTTGGAAGCCATTTGGGCCGTTTTCATGGTTCTTGGAAGTCCTGGAGAAGAAGTGGCATGGAATATAGAGATCCCCAAGAGTTCGACCATTCAGCCTAGCTAGAACTTGGTCGCGCGCGAAGCGCGCGCGATAATTCTAGTGTGTGTATATATATGTATATGTATATATATATATAAATATATATATATATATATATGTATATATGTATATACATACATACATACATACATACATACATACATATACAGAGAGAGAGAGAGAGAGAAATATTCGCTTGCATGCGGAACTTGGGGTCCAAGGTTCATGGCGCGAAGCGCCAGTGCAGCCTTGCACAGGCATAGCATCTATCGAAGACGCCTACGGCGAATCACCGCCGCCCCCTGCCTTTTGTGGAAGCGCCTGTGTGGCCGAACGTTGAGGCCAGACCTGCCAAGGCATCGGACCATGTGTTCCCCGAATCGGTTTGGAAAGTATTCGGGGAACACGTGGGCATCTTGAAGGTCATCTTGGCCGTCTTGGAAGCCTCTTGGGCGATCTTTCGGCTATCTTTGAGGGCTCTTGGGCCGTCTCGGGCCGTCGGAAAGCCGAAAAGAAGAAAAAGTCAAAATCCGTCAAAAACCTAAGGAACATCAATGTTGTTGGCCTCTTCTGGCCTTCCTGGAGGCCCTCTTGGGGGCCTCTTGGGCCCTTTTGGGCCAGTTTCGAGCCAACGTCGGCCATCTTGGTGGGTTCCTGGCACGTCTGACGCCGTCGGGAGCCGTCTCGGGGGCCTTTCTGGGCCAACGGGGGACCCTTTTGGGGCGCTTCGGGGCCGTCTTGGAGGCCATATTGGGCGTCTTGGAGGCCATCTTGGGCTTGTTGGAGGCCTCTTGGGCCGTCTTGGGGCCCTCTTGGGGCCATCTTGGAGGCCACTTGGGCCGTCATGGGGCCCTCTTGGGGGCCTTTTGGGCGATATTGGGGGCCTCTTGGGCCGTCTTGAGCCGTCGGAATGCCGAGTAGAAGCAAATTCCAAAATCCTTCAAAAACCTATAAAAAAAACAATGATTTTGGCCTCTTCGGGCCCTCCTGGAAGACCTCTTGGAGGCCGCTTGGGCCGTCTTGGAGGCCTCTGGGGGGCCTCTTGGGCCGTCTTGGGCCGTCTTGGACTCTCTTGGGTAGTCTTGGAGGCCGCCTTGGATCATCTTGGGCGGACTTGGAGGCCATCTTGAACCATCTTGGAGGCTATCTTGGGCCATCTTGGTCATCTTGGAGGCCATCTTGGAGCCGTCTTGGGCAGAAAAGTAGGGAATTGAGGTCCGTGGAAAAAATCCCGGGACCCCGGCGGGACGGGCCGAAACCCATTGGGAGAGTTCTTTTGGAAAAAGAACCAAAACCAACACCGAGAGGATTCAGCACGCCAGGCACCCCTGCGATGAATCGACGGGGCGGCGGATCTAGTAGCCTTCGGCCCATCCCGCCACCGTGCCTGGGTTGTGAGTTAGAGGCCTCTTGGATGTTCGTTTGGAAATCGTGGGAGGACTCTCGGGGGCCTCTTGAAGGCAGACATGAGACCTCTTGGAGGCTGGTTGGGGGCCTCTTGGGGCATCTTCTTGCGCCTCTCGGGGGCCTCACGGGGTCTCTAGGGGGCCTCTTGGGCTCTCATAGAGGCCTCTTCGAGCCTCCTGGGGGCCTCTTGGGGCGGAAGACTTAGTAGTGCACGGTATTGTTCATTGCATGCGTCCGCTTCACTCGCTCTGTAGCCATCGCTTCTGTTCAGAGCTTCGCTTGTTATGGCAGGGCTCGCGTACGGTCTCGCCCCAGTAGTCCGCGATTGGGCTGCGACGGGCCTGTACGCCGCCAACCTCTGGACATCTCTCCGCAGGGATTGCCACTGCACGTGCAGCTTCACCGGAGAGCACGACAGAGAGCTGCTGCAGGTCCTGCAGCGCTGCAGCGCCAACTTGACAGGTGTGGCCCTGAGAAGCTTCGCAGCGCCCCTTTGGAGTGTCCGTCGAGCTTCTGGGAGATCGCCTCAGTCTTGTGCCTCGCTGTGGGCGCCGCGTTCATCATTGGCTTCCTCGTCGGCAGGCTCCATGGCCATGGTCCCGGGAGGGCTTCCCGCCCTGCTGAAGACGGCCCACCAGGGGGACAAGCTATACTGTCTGTACAGCCTGGAGGACCGTCTGTTCCACGAGAGGCTTCTGTGCGGCCACGTGGACGGCTCACGGTTGGTGGTGGCGACGCCTGATGCCGACGTGTACGCGGAAGACTTCGCCGACGAGAATCACGTGGAGATCCACCGAGCTGGCCCTCGAGGGGGAGCCCGCCTCAGCTGCGCAAGAAGATGCTGTACCAGTTCGGCCTGGACGAGCAGGCTCGGGCCGCCCTCCTGAGCGAGGGGGCGCAGCTGGCGGAGTCTGAGCGCCGCGAGGCGGCCGGTGGCACGGACATGCCGCGTGGTTCCGAGGTCGGCCTGGCGGCTGGCGCTTCGGAGCCGCCGCTGCCTCCGCCGAGCCACGCCCCCCCGCCTCGCACGGGTGCCGGCGGTGGACCCCTGCCGCCAGTGCAGCTGGACGACGGCTGGGTCGCCCTGGAGTCGCGGCGGGGCTTCAGGCGGGGCTCGTCAGTGGACGTTACGTTCGCTTCCGTCTACGCCCTGGACGACCGCGCCAGGGCCTCGTTCCCAGAGGAGGTCATCGCGCTGGAACGAGTGGAGACCCTCTCCGAGGAGGCGCCGCCTGCTCCACGGGACGCGCGGGATGGAGTCCTGGACGAGCGCATCCTGGGGTACCGGAGGAGCGGTACGGGCCAGCGGCGGCACGCCTTCTCGGAGGTGGCTGCCGAGCAGCGCGAGGTGCTCAGGACTCAGGAGTGGCGCGTGCAAGGGCCCGCTACCATCGGCCGGCTGCTTCAGGCGCATCTGGAGCAGGGTAGCGGGCCCGCCCAGCGGCACTACTGGTGGCGTCAGATCCTGGGGCTGGCGCCTGCTGACCCCGGGATCGACGAGCATTTGTTCCTGTGCGGGCTGATCGAGACGGCCTCCACGGCCGACCAGCTCAACCTCCCCGGCTGCGAGGCGTCCGAGCTGGCAGCCAGGCGATTCCAGCTGTGGGACGAGGTGTACTCCGAGGCCCTGCGCCAGGTCGAGGTCTCAGGCACGGCGGGGGCCACGGCAGACTCGGGCGGCTGGCTGGACGCGCGCAGGATCTTCCTCAGCGGCTCCCGCTCCAGGGGCCATGCGCTCGTAGCGCCATCCTTGGAGGTGCACGTGGCGGAGAAGATGCAGGAGGAGGGCGCCATCCTCAAGGAGAGGCGCAAGGGCAGAGAGGAGCGCCGCATGGCCCGCGGCGTGGACAGCAGCGGCGCCGACGCCGCACCAGGAGGTGGCGATCAAGGTGGTGGCGGCGGCGGCGCAGGCGGCGGCGGCCCTGGCGGCCGGGGCCGAGGTGGCCGCGGCAGCGGGCGGGCCTAGCCCGCCGCTCGTTCTTCGGCTTGTGCGCGGCCGCTGCAGCCCCCCGGGCAGCGGGCGCTTTCACAGGGGAGGGCCGCCACTGCTGTGGTGATGGCGGCCTCGGCGCAAGGAGTCTCGGACACTGGCATCGCGCGCGACGTCCTGCCCCTCCCGCCGGGCGTGACGCTCGACGAGCTGCTGCACGGTGCGGCGGCACGCCTTCTGCCGCACGGCGGCGGTCGGCGCGGGCGGCAGCGCAGGCATCAGGAGGTCTGGCTGCGCGAGGGCATCGCTGCGCTGGACGACCTCGGCGGGCGCGGGGTGGACGCCCCCTCGGGGGCCCCTGCGGCCTGCCAGGTCACCGCCGTGCGGCGCCTCGCACAGCTCTATGGCAGGGTGGAGCCGCCGCCGTCCGACCTGACTCCCCTGGGGGCGTGGCAGACGCTCCAGGCTTCGCGGAACGGCTATGCAGACGTCATGGCCGAAGGTGCTTCGACAACCTACAGGAAGGGGGCCATGGCGCCCCCGCGGGCTGCGGCAGGGCGGGTACGGCTTGCTGACGTCCTGCCGCCGCACCTGCAGTCTCTCTTGTGTAACTCGTCGCAGATGTTACGAGAGCCGGAGGCTCGCAATTTTGCTTTGGGTGAGGCTCTGAGGGTCTGCGCCATGGACCCAGTGTTGCAGCGGCGTGGCTACCAGTATGGCGAGTGCCTCTCCGAGCTGCTCTCTGCGGGCATCATTGAGCCTGCGGCCGAGGACAGCATCATCGAGCGCGCTGGCATCTTTTTCGTCCCAAAGAAGGACTCGTCGCTGCGGCTGATCTTCGACACCAGAAGGTCTAATGCCCATTTCCAGGACCCCCCCTACACGCTGCTCGCGAGCGGGGAGGCCCTGGCGAACTTGGAGGTCGACGCTGCTGGAGGGATTGCTGTGGCCTCTGGTGACGTCGAGTGCTGCTTCTACCAGTACGAGCTGCCGTCGTGGGCACGTGCCTTCTTCGGTCTGCCAGCGGTCCAAGCAGGCTTCTTGGATTCGGCAGCCCGCCAGCGCCTGGGGGTTTCAGACCCTTCGGAGATGATCCACTTCGTTGCCAGAGTGGTCCCCATGGGCTGGTCTTGGGCCGCGCACCTCATTCAAGAGGCCCATGCCCATGTCCTGAGCAACATCAGCCCGGACGCGCCCTGGATCGCGGACAAGGTGCCCACACCGGCGCTGGGGACTCAGTGCGCCACCGCCAAGATGCTGTACATCGACAACGCCGCAGTCTTCACGTCAGGCAGCGGCGACCCCGCGCTGGAGGTGGAGCGCATGCTGGCCGCCCTGGGCGCGCGGGGGATTCAGGCTTCCTTTGACCGCGACGATGGGGACATGCACACCCTGCTCGGCTTCGTGCTCCACAAGCCCTCGGCCACCTGGCGCCTGTCGCACAGCAAGTTTTGGCGGCTGAAGTTTAGCCTCGATTTTGCACTGGCACCTGGACGTCTTGTCACGGGGCGCGAGCTCGAGAGGCTGATGGGCCATATCACCGCGGCTGTCATGCTGCAGCGGCACATGCTCTCGCTCTTCCATGCGATCTACGAGTTTTGCAGGCGGTCGCGTGACAAGCGGCAGCCTCTCTGGTCGTCGGTGAAGCGGGAGCTCACGTGGTTCAGAGCGCTGCTTCCCTGCGTGACCGTTTCGCTGAGCCGCCCCTGGTGCGAACGGGTCACCGCCGCGGACGCCCCCCCATGGGGGTTTGGCGTGGTGGAGCAGCCGTGGCCCATCAGTGATGTGCGGCGAGTTGGCAGCCTTTCGGAGCGCAGTCGCTTCAGAGGAGTCCTGACGGCGGATTATGCCCCCAGGGACACGCTGGTCGAACAGCATCTCCTCCACGCCACGGCGGCCGAGGTCACCGCGGAGGGCACCCTGACCCACTTTGAGGAGGCGCCGGCAGCGCGGATCTTGGCAGACCCTTGGTCGGTCGCGGCCGCCCGTCGCCGGCGGCGGGCCGCAGCCATCCACGTCCTGGAGGCTGAGGGGGCGCGCTGGGCCGTGCGGCGCCTCGCGCGCAACTCGCAGCTGCATGGGCATCGGCACCTCATCCTGGGTGACAACCTCGGGGTGGTCTGCGCGTGTGAAAAGGGCAGAGCTGCACACTTTGCACTCAACGTCGTCTGTCGGGAGATCTGCGCTATCTCAGTCGCCTCTGGGATGCAGCTCAGGTTCAGGTGGATCCCATCAGAGCTCAACCCTGGCGACGCTCCCTCTCGCAGGTTCATGCCAGGCGCGAGGAAGCACCACGTTGTCGGACAGTGCAGCACACTTCCAGGCCTGGAGGAGATCGGCACACATCACGCTGGGCCTCTGTCCGGAGACATCGGCTCGAGGGAACACTACCATGCCAACGACGGTCTACTCGGTCAGCCCCGCCTACGGCAAGCACGCCCGCGATGCAGCGGAGCCCAAGCCGGCGCCGACCACCCGGCGCGCCTCCGACTGGCGCGGCGGGCGCGGGCCGCCAGGCCCTTCGGGCTCCCGCCGGGGCTAGACATCCCAGGCGCCGCTGGGCGACAGGCCCGCAGAGGGCTGTTCGCGGCGGGCGCCGCTGTGTCTGCGGCGCTCGCGACTGGCGGCGCGTCGGGTGCGACACATCACCGTGCGTTCGTACCTGCTGGTGCTGACCATGCGCTCGGGCTCGCCGCGGCTGCTGGCGCTGCCAGGCTGGATCCCCGCGCAGTCGGACGAGACGCTGGTGGACTACTCCGAGTGGGCCTTCGACCGCGGCATGGGTCAGGAGGCGTCCTCTCGCACCTACTGCGCCGTGGCTGGGGGCGAGCCCGCGCTGGGAAGGCCCGTTCGGCGCCTCTTCCCCCCGGCGAACGCGTCGCTGTCAGGCGGGACGCAGCGCCCGTCGGGCCACTCCCGCCAGCCGCTGCCGCGGGCGCCTGCGCGCGCGATGGCGGCCGTGCTGGCCTCGCGGGGGAAGCCAGACTGGGGGCGATGCGTCTTGGTGGCGCACGACCTGAGCCCGTCCCTTGCTGGCCATGCAGTTTCTGCCAGGCAGGTGCAGAATGGTCGGAGGGCGGCAGCAACCCCTCCTGCTCCCGCACCCAGAGGGGCTTACTACCAGCTCCAGGACGGGCGAATTCGACTCCACAGTGGGGCTTGACCTTCATCGACGTCACTGGATTGGGCGTGCTGTCGTGCGGCTGCAACTGCTTCGTCTCGGAGAGGAGCTGCTGTTCGTGAGCTCGCACCTGCAGCGCCTGGCCGACTTCCATGTTGCTTGTCAATACCTCAAGCTCGAAGGTTTGGACTGCTCGCCGCACTTCCTGGGGCACGGCGACGCGACACACGTCTGCGTTGCAGGGTACCGCGCACCGCTGGAGGTGCGGAGGCGAGAAACGTGGAGGGCGACTTCACCAGTTCAGAGGTACGACAAGGCCTGTTGGCGGGCGGTGGCCAGGCAGGCCCTCAGCAGCGCCCAGAGGAGGAGCCGCGAGATCTGGGCGGTAGCCGCCCCGCAGCTCTTCGGCATCGCCTACGTGCTGCCCTCCGCGCCGGCCGCCTTGGCGAGCGGCGAGCGTTCCTGGATCTCTTCTCAGGCTCGGGTGGCCTCGCCGCCGAGCTAAAGAAAAGGGGGCACGCTGTGGTTTCAATTGACGTTCTCCTGGGCCCAGAGTGCGACTTGCTGCAAGATGATGTTTTCCGCACCCTTCGAGGCTGGCTTGAGTCTGGTATCATCTGGGGCATGTTTTCAGGCAGCCCTTGTGGAAAATGGTCACAGGCTCGCCGGGCTCCGCCTCACAGTGTGATGCCTCGTCGCTTGCGAACGAAGGAGCACCTGCGAGGCCTGCCAGTCCTGGAGGGCGCCGACTATCACGATGTCGTTACCTCGAACAAGCTGGCTGACAGAGTCGCACTCTTGCTAGGCATCGCCCTGAGACGCCAGCTGCCAGCTGGAGAGGAAAATCCCGCATCTAGTCTGCTGTGGCTGCTCCCCAGCCGCCAGCGTTTTCACTCTCATGCCAATGTCCAGACTGCTGTCTTTGACTATTGCGGTGCTGGCCGTCCTTTTCGTGCGCGCACTCGTATGGCTCTCGCCAATATATCTGTTCCGCCAGAGCTATACACATGGCACTGTAAAGGTAGGGGTGTTTGCACGTTTTCGGGCAAGCCGCACCTGGTTCTCTCTGGTAAGTCCAAGGCCGGCTTCATTACTCATCTTAAAGCTTCCTACCCCCCGCGCCTGTGCTCCGTGCTCGCTCGAGAACTTTCTCACAGCTATTTGTCTCTGCGGGCGAGCCGCCTGTGGAATTTGATGCGGTAATCCAGTACATTGCTTGAAGACGGGGTGTATTTATGAGGATGGGTTGTGTGGGACAAACTGCCCACATGACATGTTGTCTTCGCCTCAGCATTTCTCTGGAAAATAAGAATGAACATAGTAGTGCACGGCATTGTTCATTGCATGCGTCCGCTTCAGTCGTTCTGTAGCCATCGCTTCTGCCCTCGCCAGCCCAAAACCTATTTAATTGTTACGTTCTCTGCGGGTTGTGTGGGACAAACTGCCCACATGACATGTTGTTTTCGCCTCAGCATTTCTCTGGAAAGTAAGAATGAACAAGAATTGTCTGCGCGTGTTCCCCCTCTTTGGACCGTCTTGGGGCCCGCTTGGGCGATCTTGGGCGCCTCTTGGGCCGTTTTGGTGCCCTCTGGGACCGTCTTGGGACCCTCTTGGGGGCCTCCTGTGCCGTCTTGGGGCGGTCTTGGGGGTTTCTTGGGCCATCTTGGAGCGTCGGAAGCCCGAAAACGCGAAACCGCGAAAAAAACATTTTAAACAACACTAGGAACATCAATGGTAAGTGCCTCTTTGGGCCCTTTTGGGGGTACTCTTGGAGCGCTCTTGGGGCTCCTTTGGGACCCCAAGGGCCGTCTTGGGGACATCGTGGGAGTCTCGGAGCGGTCTCGGACTGTCTTGGAGGCCTCCTGGGCGCTTCTCGGGACCATCTGTGCCCGTCTTTGGGCCCCTTGGCTTCAGGAAAAGTCATGCGGGGATGCTGGAGAGCGCGCGAGAGCGGAAATCTGGGGCCCTAGCCCCTAGAATATGATCAGCCCCATAGTCCTGAGTACAGAGAACAGAGAACACGTGAGAGCCTGGGGGTAACTCCACTCCACTGCATGCCTCGAGGCACGGTGGCGGATATGGATGGGCATGTGCACATTCACATTTATTTTTACATGCATATACATGCATACATACGCATATGTGTCATAGCACATGCGTGCACATCTACATATTTCCATATACATGTGTACATACATGCATGCAGACATGCATGCATACATGCATCGATGCATACATACATAACTTGTGTATTTACAGATACGTACAGATGTAGAAACACACGTTAATATCCATCACCCGCGCCGACCCCCACCAGGGGGCAGAGCTCGACACCACCGCGGCCGACGCGGCCATCGAGGGCGGCGCGGAGTTCAGAAAACAGGCACGCCTGCTCGCCCTGAGCCGGAACATTGGGGAGGGGAGGGGGTTTCAGGGGAGGAGGGGGTCTAAGAACAAAAAGTTACATGAACACGATGTATCAGGGTTCCGCGCGGATTTCTTGGATCGACTTTGGGCCCCCCTAGCGGCGCCTCCAGCGCCGTCCATGGCGCGCTCCGCATGGAGGGGGGGGGGGTCCAGCGCCGATCCAAGGAATTCGCGCGGACCTCCGAGAAACGATGTTTATGCCTCTAGAGGGAGAGGGAAGAAGTGGAGGGGGGGGGGGACGGGAGAAGGGGGGGAGGGGGGGGAGGAGAGGGGAGGGGTTGGGGTCGTCTTGGGGGCGCCTGCGTCGGTTCCCAAAGGCCTTCCCGCCTCAGGATGCTTTTCCGTAGCGGTGCCCGGTCTCGCCCCGCTCCCGGGGTGGCGCCCCGCTGCGCGGCTTGAGCACGGCGCTCGCGGGAAGGGGGCCTCGCGCGGGCGCAGCGCAGCCGCGCCGCATCCGCGGTGCTCTCGCTGCCGCGACTGGGCGTGCGGAGGCGCAGGGATGCCGAGTCGCACTGGCGGGGGGCTCGCCTCCGCGACAGGCGGTGCCCCGAGGCTCTGGAGGGCGGAGTCCGCAGCGAAGGCGCACGGCTGAGTCCTGCAGGATCCGTGGGGGGGCGCTTAGGGCCCCCGAGGAAAGCCCCAGGATCCCGCAGGAAGCCTCAAGGACTCCAGAGGAATTCTCACAGATTCGTGAAGAAGTCCGACTGGATTCCGCAGGATGTTCTCTGGATGTTGAGGATGATCCAAGGGAGGCCCATGATATCCTCAGGATTGCACAGGGAGTCGTGATATTAAATGTGGGAATCAATAGGGCTCACGCGGGAAGCTTTCAGGATTCGGGATTTCCTCTTTCGCTTCCTTGCGGAATCCGAAAGTCTTTTAGAGTATACCTTGAGGATTCCTGAAGAAGAAACACCCTGAGGATTCAAAGGAAAATCTTTCGGATTCCTGACAGAATGTGTATGCCTTAGGAGATCCATTGAACTTATTTGAGAATCTATGGGGGTCCTGAGGAAACATTTAAGATTTCAGACAACGTAGTCAGGAAATCGCCTGGTTGCTGAGGGAAATCATGGGATCACCACTGGGGACCAAGCCTGCTGAGTAAATTGTAACGAACCCTTTTAGACTTGCGGAGAAGTCCTTTGGATATCGCTTGGATTCCTGAGGATTGCTGAGCAAGGCCCCCAGAGCAGGAATTCCAATCGAAAGCCCCGCCCGCAGGAGGCGCTCGAGTCGTCTGCCTCGTCTTCACGCTTGAAGCCTCGGTCAGGCGCCCCCCAGGGCCGTTCAGAGGCTAAAGTTTGTCGATATGCGGCGAGCTGGCGCCAGCAGGCGGTCGGCTCGCGACGAGGCGCGTCGTGAGCAAACTGGACTTACGTCGGGCACATCCCTCTACAGGAGGAATATTCACTAACAGTCCATACATTGTTTAGGGACGATGTTATGGTTATGCCTTGTTGTTTGCTTTTCGTCGAAAATCCGCCTGTAGGAAGACACGCCCGACTTACAATCAGGCACGCAGGAACAGGAAGGCGGGAGCGAAGGAAGGGGAAGGAGGTGGAGGCGCGGGACGGGGAGCCCCCTTGTCAGAGCACGAAGCACTTGGGGCGGTGCCGGAGTCAGCGGAGGCTGAACAGGACTGCGTCGCACCCGTTCTGCGCACGAGACGAGCCCAGGCGCAGGCCGCCCCTCGTCGCTTGCAGGCGGGCGCGCTTGGTCTCGCCCGCCGCGTCGCTCGCCTGGCGTACCACCGAGCGCACACTTCGACCACAGGCCGTTCGTGCATTGCCTTAGTCGAGCGCGGCGCGAGCTCCGGGGAGGGGCAGGGGGGGGAAGGAGGACGAGCAGGAGCAGGTGGAGGAGGAGGGAGAAGACGGGTAGGTGGAGGAGGAGACGGGGGAGTTGGAGGAGGCGAAGGTGGAGGAAGAGGAGGAGGAGCAGTGTAGACCCAAGATTCATCAACGATGTTGACATACACCCTCCCTCCAAGATCCCCTTCACTGGCCCCTACAAGGGGTCATTTCCACTGAGGGAATTGCTCCGTTGGGGGACAACTGTCTGAACATCCTGAAGCGTGCCAAAAAACCATCCTCAGGACTTCAACGCCACGAGATAAACTGACTGTTACGTCTTGGCGATCCTGCACCATGCTGGAACACCATTCCTGGGGCTTCGACACCGCGAGCCAACGTAATTGTTGCGCCTTGACAATCTTGATTCGCTTCAAAATACCGTTTCTGTTACGTCAACCATGAGAACCAGCGAAATGCTTACAAATGTTCACATGTTGAAAACCACCCGCCACCAATCCGCGAATCTCTGGCAAATTTAAAGACGAGCGTGCGCAGCGCGAAGGCCAGAGCCACAATTTGAAAACTTGAAGACGATCCGCCCTCAACCCGCGAAACTCTGCCAAACTTGTAAACCGAATGTGTGCGACGCTGGGGCGAGAGCCATATTTAGAAAACGGCCCGCCCTCGATCCGTTGCAAATGTTTAGATGTGCGCGGCGCTGATGCGAGAACCACATGTTGAAAACCACTTGCCCCCAATCCTTGAAAACCTTGCAATGTGTTTTAAAACGAACGTGCGCGGCGCTAAGGCGAGAGCCACATGATGAAAACGAGCCAACCTCAATCCGCGGAACTTCTGCTAGAACGAATGTGCGCGGCACGAAGGCGAGAGTCACATGTTGAGAACCACCTGCCCACAATCCGTGAAACCCTTGCAGCTGTTTGAAAACGAATGCACGCGGCGAGAAGCTCTTCCAAATGTTTGAAAACGAATGCACGCAGCGCTAAAGCGAGAGTCACATGTTGAAAACGAGCCGCCCTCAATCCGTGAAACCCTTGTAAATGTTTAAACAAATTCGCACGGCGCTAAGGCAAGAGCCACATTTCGAAAACGGCCCGCCCTCCATGTGCGAAATTGTGGTCAACGTTGAAGCAGCAGGGTCATACATGGTGAGGAAGTCTCAGGCGAAACGCCCGGCCCGCCCTTTCGATTGGCATCGGGGTGCGAAAAGAGGAATAGAGGAGGTAGAGGAGGAGGAGGAGGAGGAGGAGGAGGAGGACCCCTGCACTTCCTGCGCGAGGAGAAGGAGGAAGAAAAGTAGCCGCAGCAGGAGCAGGAGGAGGGACAGAAACAAAAGGAGGAGGAGGAGGCAGCGTTCCCATCCCTCCTGATCACATCGACCATGCGAAGGAGGAAGAAGGAAAAGTAGCACGAGGGGGCGGAAGAAGGAGGAGGCGGAAGCGGAGGGGGAGGACGAGGAGGAGGAGGAGGGACGGACGGAGGAGAAGGGAGGAGGGGGAGGAGCAGGAGGAGGAGGAGGAGGAGGAGGAGGAGGAGCAGAAGGAGACGGGGCGGGAGGAGGAGCAATAGGAGGAAGAGGAGGGAGGGAGGGAGGAGGCGGAGGAGAAGGTGGAGGAAATACAGGAGACTGGGGTACGAAGGTCCTGAAACGCCGCGCGAGAGGCGAATTCGAACCAGCAGCGAAAGTCGATCGATCTGATTGCCAGGTCCGCCTCAGAGCCTGGTGCATTGCCCCAGATTTCCGTCGGTCCCCTTGATTCGTGATTCCGCAGGCTTCGCCCAGGAGAGAATGCAGAAGAAAGCAGAGCGAGGGGGGCGAACTGGTCTGACACCGTCCCTGGGTGCGTGGCAGAAGCGGGATTCCACGACGCAGGTTCTGTTTGGTGTTCTTGTTGTCGTCGACGTCGTCGTCGTCCTCGCCTTCGACCCCCTCCCCCGCGACCCACCCGCGACCCACCTAGCGACCCACCCCTCGCCAGCCCCCTCACTCTCATCCGCAACTGCGGGGTGCTACGGTAGGGGGCACTGCAGCCCCGAGATCCAGCCCGCTCAGAGGCAATTGACTGATGGGACCATTGGCCACGCGAGATGTTGCCCCCATCTCCTCCACCTCCTCCTCATCCTCTTCTTCCTCCCCCTCCTCATCCGGGTCCAATGCATACTTATCACAGTCAACATCACCAGCAGCATCATTGCCACCTGCACCACCATGAGTGTAACAATCAGCATCAACAGTATCGTCAGCATCATGTTCATCGCGCTCACCCCCTCATCAGTATCAACATCAGCCTAGTCGGAATCACCATCACCCTCATCATCATCATCATCATCATCATCAGCATCAGCATGGTCACCATCAGCATCATCATCATGACCAGCATCGCCGTTTCCTCTTCGACGTCACCACCCTTAGTTAAAACTTCGTCCAACAACTTGCGTGCGTGCTCCCACTTCCTCCCCTTCCCGGTGTTCCCCTGCGTCCTCCTCCACCCTTCCTGCGCCTCGGCCGCACTGTCCTGCCGGTCCTTGGCCCCGCCGCGCCGCCGTTCGGGCTCAGGCCATCTGGTTTCGCGGAGGAGACTCTTTGCCAGCGCGCTCGCGACATCGGCAGCAATGGGGGGCAAGAAGAGCTATCAGAACTATGGGAAGACGTTCCGTAAGCCGAAGCGCCCCTTCGAGAAGGAGCGCCTGGATTCCGAGATGAAGATCGTGGGCGAGTACGGGCTGAAGAATAAGCGCGAGGTGTGGCGCGTCCAGTACGCCCTGGCCAAGATCCGCACTGCGGCACGCCACCTGCTCACGCTCGACGAGAAGAGCGAACAGCGCATGTTCCAGGGTGAGGCGCTGCTCCGCCGCATGATCCGCATCGGCCTGCTGATGGAGAGCGAGAAGAAGCTGGATTACGTCCTGGGCCTCACCAGCGCGAAGATCATGGAGCGCCGCCTGCAGACCAAGGTCTTCAAGCTCGGCCTCGCGAAGTCCATCCACCACGCGCGCGTGCTGATCCGCCAGCGCCACATCCGCGTCGGCAAGCAGATCTGCAACATCCCGTCCTTCCTGGTGCGCCTCGACAGCGAGAAGCACATCGATTTCGCCCTCACCTCCCCGTTCGGCGGTGGCAGACCCGGCCGCGTGCGTCGCAAGATGATGCAGAAGAAGGGCGGCGAGAAGGACGGCGACGAGGACGAGGACTGAGTATCGGGCCTCTCGGTGCGATGCCAGCGCGTGCTCGTGAGAGACCCCCTGGGAGTCGCACTGGCGAGTCCAACATTCCTTGCCCGCACCCTCTGCATGTGGAGATCGCCCGAAGGAATGCGCGGAGGCGCTAAATTCGAGTCTGATAAGAGGGTCGACGCTTCCAAATCAAGGGTGCGCTTGTGTCCTGCGTTCCGCGTCCCATGTCCGCTGCCTTCGTGGGGCAATGTGGCCCTCGGAAAGGTCGTGTGTGCGTCTTCTCCAGTCAGACTCGATTGCAGGTCGAAGCTCAAAGGGAGGGAGTTCAGAGTTGCTTCGACAAACTCACTCCACACGACTGCTTCGACAGACTCACTCCACACGCCCCAAGCTTACGCCGAAGAGTGGGCGCGCGGTTTCGGGACGCGTCGCGATCGCCGGATCACAGCTCGCCCGTGCAGTTCTAGCATGTGGGCGGTTAAAGGGGAGCACAGGGGCATCCACCCCCGTTGTGGCAGCGGGAGCTGGAGTGGCAGGAGCGGGGGGAGCAGGAGGGCCCGTGGAGGGCGGAGGAGGGGAAGGGAGGAGGGCGACCACGAGGAGGAAGGGTTCGGATCCTGAAGACTGGGCCGTGCTGGGGCGACAGCGCTACAGTGAGCGGTTTGAATAAGGAACACTTACTTTTCAAAAGGGGCCCGGTCGTTCCTTAGGTTTTTCATGCGTTGTTTACCGTTCCTTCTTATGCGTTATGTGTTATTGATCGTTCCTTGTGTGTTATTCCGTGGGATAAAAAAGGGGCTTCGTTCCTTATCTATCGTTCCTTAGGTCAGGCCGATGACTGTATTCCGAACGACGGGAGCACAGCCGCGATCCTAAGATGAGGAACGCGCTGCGGCGGGAACACAGGTGTGGAAGGACCGAGAAGCACTCGCATTCTAAAAAACAAGCATGAAGTACCAGCGTGTTGAACTCCTGTGTCGAGGAGGGCGGTACACTCAACACGTCGTCGGGGCTGAGAAGAGACTCGTCGGAGTGAGGGGGCCGAACGGTCATTCACCGTCCCTGGGTGCGTGGCTAAAGTGGGGTTTTGCGGTGCGGATGATTGTTGCGTTGTTGTCGTCGTCTTCGCCCGCAACCCACCCCGCGACCATCCCGCGACCCAGCCCGCGACCCACAAGCGACCTACCAGCGACCCACCCACTCACGTTGCTTCGACGAAAATGTCGGCGCCTGCGGCGGGCTCGCTGCGCAATGTGTACCAAAAGTCGGCGCCTGCGGCAGGCTTCTTCAGAGCTTCGCGGACTGTCGACGACCCCGCCGCCCCCTCACTCTTATTCGCAGATGCGGGGTGCGATGTACCCATCGTGTACAAGTGCGGACGGAGGAGGGAGGAGAAGGGAGGAGGCGGATATCCCCCTCTCTTCCGCGCCTCCTCCCAGCCGATCCTCGTCCCGCCTGCCCCACCATTTCTCCTCCTCCTCCTCCTCCTCCTCCTCCAGCATCCCTCCCTCCCTCCCCCTTGCGCAGTCAAGGCGCTTCGCCACCCCGGGTGCAGGAGGGCTTCGATGCCTTGGCCGCTCCTCATCGGGACCTGGGTCGGGGAGCCCGTGCGCGGCCGAGGCTCGCCGCGGTCGGAAACGCCACGGCGCTCTCTGCGGGGCTTGCCTCACTGTACGGTGCGGCGGCGGCCCTTGGATAAGGAACGTCCTCCTGGGGCCCAGGCCCTGGCGCATCCCTCAGATTGTTTCAAGGCGAGGTGGGTGGCCCACGTTTGGCCGCCAATCGGCCGCGAGACCCTGGGTTCCTGATCGAAGGTATCCCCTTATCTGAAACCTCCACCGTCGCACGATGACTGCAGTCCGCTACCAGCCAGCGCCCCCTCCTCCTCTGCGGCGTTGGCCTCCCGCGCGCGCGCGCGAGTGCCCAGGGCAGCGGCACGATCCGGGTCCTGCGGACCCCCGCCGACCAGGCGGGCTTCCTGAAGGAGCGGCCGCTGCGGGCCCCGCTGTTCCTCCTCCTCCTCCTCCTCCTCCTCCTCCTCCTCCTCCTCCTCCTCCTCCTCCTCCTCCTCCTCCTCCTCCCTCTCTTCTCTCCTCCTACCTCCTGTTCCTCCCTCTTCTGCGTCCGCCCTCCTCCTCCTCGCCCTCCTCCTCGCCCTCCTCCTCGTCCTCCTCCTCGATCTCCTCCTCCATCCCATCCCCCCTCTTCATGTTTTTCCCTCTCCTCCCTGCCTTGTGCCGCTTCAGACTGCACCTCCTCGTCTACAATTACTCAATATGAATACTACTCTCCCTCTTCCCCCGATGGCGGCCTGAAAGTATTAGACACCCCCACCCCGCGTATTGTTTTTTACACAGGATTCCCGGGAGTTGGGTTTTCGCCTGCTTTTTTTCAAAATGCTGCTCTCGCTGAGGCGCCGGCCTCATTTCTGCTCCCGAATCGTTCCGAATCGTGCTCCCGCTGCAGCGTGGGCCTCATTTTCGGATCGGTGTTTGGCCTCCGTCGTTCAGGATGGCGTTCTCGCCCCAGCGCGGGCCTCTTTCTCGCGCGCCCATCCGCCCGCCACCACCGCGCCGCCACCACCACCACCACCACCACCACCACCACCACCACCACCACCACCACCACCACCACCACCACCACCACCACCACCACCACACCCCACCAGCAGCACCACCACCACCACCACCACCAACACAACAACACAACCACGCACACACGCACGCACGCACGCACGCACGCACGTGCACCACCACCCACTACGCACGCGCGCGCGGAGCCACAGGTCCGCTACGACACGCGTCCGCGGATAGAGAAAATCAGCGCCATGGTAAGGGATGGGAGGGAGGGGTAGGACGTCAGATATGACGCGAGCGCACCTAGCTTGTCTTCCCCCCCTCTCCATCATCCCTACATCCCCCCCTATGTCAGTCATCATCATCCTCATCATCATCCTCATCATCGTTTCATCCGCTCATTACGCTGTACAAGCTCTTGCACACTAGCAGGCTGCAGCGTCTTACCCGCGATCCGAGAACATGTAACCATACATAACGACGCTGGAATTCAGATTATTTCGAGCGCACCCAGAGCAACCAGACGAACAACTGGCATTGGGCAGGAAGAGGAGCCTGCTTGGGCACAGAGGCGCGCACAACGACAGGGTTCCTCCTGAACCACCCGGCACTACCTCCCCATCACCTCCTGATCCTCCCTTTCTCATGGCAGTGCTTGCGCCTACGGTGCCGCTCTACAGTGCAAAGCCCATGTTGCGACACCAACTGTTGGCAGTCTGTGGAACACCGCTGGAACGAAACTTGGAAATTAGCGGCCAAAACGTGCAACGCTGGCGGCCCAAAGCTGCGAGATGGTATTCGCACCCATTCCCACTCCACCAAACTAACCAGCCTGCCACCACCCACCTCAGGCCACCTTCAGGAACGCACTGCCCTCGCTGATGGTCGCCTCGCTGCTGCTACACATAAGCTAACCGGGGTAAGGTTGCCCTCACCGAGGGTCCATTCTGGGGAGCGACGCAGAAGATGGTCGCCTTCCTCCTCCTCCTCCGTCACCTACCTCCTTAAGGAAAGTGCTGCCCTCACCGAGGGTTGGATGTTGCTCCAGCGACTCAAGAGAAGAAAGTGTTGCCCTTAGCGAGGGCCGTCTCTAAAAAGTGCGGCAGGAGATGGCCCTCCTGCTACTACTACTACTACTACTACTTCTACTACTTCTACGACTACGACTTCGACTACTACTACTACTACTACTACTACTACTACTACTACTACTACTACTACTACTACTACTACTACTACTACTACTACTACTACTACTACTACTACTACTACTACTACTACTACTACTACTACTACTACTACTACTACTACTACTACTACTACTACTACTACTACTACTACTACTAACTACTACTACTACTACTACTACTACTACTACTACTACTACTACTACTACTACTACTACTACTACTACTACTACTGCTACTACTAGAGTCGCGAAGCTCGGGCCTCGCTGGGCTGAACAATCGGGGCTGCCGTCTGGCGTCTTAGGTTGTCCGCCACCCTCGCCGTCGAGTTGCTGACCTGGTCCGCTGTCCCCGAAGCGTAGGAGATTGTGGTTCGGCTGTGCGTACGGCCGGTTCGCCTTGGGTGGCACATGGACACCAGCTGGCGGTTGCCTTGGCACCATAGCGGACCATTCGTTCTGACGCGTATTCAGGGAGAGGGAGGGGAAGAGAGAGAGAGAGAGAGTGAGGGAGAGGGAGAGGGAGGGAGAGGGAGAGAGGGAGAGAGGGAGAGAGAAGAGAGAGAGCTGGAATATCGAGAGAAAGAGAGAGAGAGAGAGCAAAAAAAACAGAAGAAAGAACACATGTGTGTATAATAGAGAGAGCGTGATCCACCGCCGCTTTACTGTGGAAAATTGCCAACCTTTTCCTCCGGAACCCGGGGGTCTCCCCCCCCCTCCGAAAATCCCCCCCCCCCTGCCCCCCCCCTTCCCCCCCGGAAACCCTCCCCCCCCCCCCCCCTCCCTCCCGGCAAAAACCCCCCCCTCCCTAACCCCTCTCACCCCCCCCCCCTCCCCCTCGAAAACCGGGGGGGGTCACTACCGGTTCGAAACCCCCCCCCCCCCCCCCCCCTCCGGATCCGAAAACCGGGGGGGGTCACTACCGGTTCGAACCCCTCCCCCCCCCCCCCCCCCCTCCGGAAACCGGGGGGGGTCACTACCGGTTGGAACCCCCCCCCCCCCCTTCGACCCCCCCCCCACGCACCGCCAGCAAACGACTCCCGGTCCCTACCACCGCTCGCATCACATCCCCCACTGTTGTTCCCAGCACCACTGTCCTCACCACCACTGTCCCCACTGGTTCCACCACCGTCCCTATTGTCCCCACCAATGCCCCCACCACTGTCGCACTGTCCCCACTGTTCCCACAACTGTTCCCACCACGGTTCCACTCTCCCCACTGTCTCCACGGACCCAACCACTGCCTATCCCCATTGTCCCCACTGTCCCACTGACTCCTCCGCTGTCCCACTGAGCTGTCCCACTGTTTCCACCACTGTCCCCACTGTCCCCACCACTGTCCCCACTGTACCTCTGTCCCATTGTCCCACCGCCGTCCTCGCCACCGCCTTTACCAGTGTCTCCACCACCATTGTACCCTCCACTGTCCCAGTGTTTCCACCTCATTCCCACTGTCCCCACACCACTGTCCCCACCACCACCGTTCCCACCACTGTCCACTGTCCCCCCTGTTCCCACCATTGTCCCCACCACTGTCCCCACCACTACCGTCCCCACCACTGTCCCACTGTCCCCCCACTGTCCCCACCACTGTCCCGCTGTCCCCTCACCACTGTCCCCACCAACACCGTCCCCACCACTGTCCGCACCCCCACTCGGTTTTTTCGAGGGGGGGGGGGTTCGAACCGGTAGTGACCCCCCCCCCTTTTCATGATGAGCTGGGGGGGGGGGGGAGGGGTTCGAACCGGTAAAGACCCCCCCCGGTTTTCCGGAGGGGGGGGGGGGGAGGGGTTCGAACCGGTAGTGACCCCCCCTGGTTTTCCGCCAGCAGCGGTAGAACACGCTCTTTCGTATAATACCATTATGTATATAAAGAAAGGGAGAGAAAGAGAAGGAGAGAGAGCGAGGGAGAGAGAGAAGAAAGTAAACAATGCAGGGAGACGGGGATACACAATTAGTTCCACCCCTACCCCACCCCACCAGCACCCCCTACACCACCCCTCAAGTGGTACGCATTCCCAGCAGCACTGCGCGATTATGATGTCATGCGGCCTTTCGGAGGACTGGCTCATCCAAGTTAATTCGGGATGGCACTGGGCCACGATCAGTATGTCACGAGATGTACTGCAGTAGCTCACGCCTGGCTCAAGAGTTCAGTCGGGAGGCGGGCAACGGAGAACGTCGGGCTCCATTGTTTACACGCATGGCAATACCCGCCGGTCGTTGAAAGTAAGTATGTCTGGATCCCCACATCCCAATCTACTTCAAGCGCCTTCCTACTTCAAGGATCGGCTTGCTGTTGCTGTGTTTTGTTATTCTCTGGGAGGGCCTGGACCCAATCCACTTGATCCGCCTTCCTACTTCATGTTTTTACCTACTTCTTCCGACCGACGTGTACCCCTATTCATGCGCCCGCTCCCACCCGACGTGACGACTGCAAGAAGATTGTACTACCTTGCGGCGCGTGATCAAGTCACCGTTGCGTCAAGAAATTGGCCAGTGATCGCAGGGAAGACGAAAAAAATCGCTCTCACACGGCAGGTGGCACTCTGTCTTGCTATTATCCTCCCCCCCTACTTTGTTGTTTTTCTGTCTTCGAAGAGCCCGCGGCATGAGTTAGAGCGTTCGGAGGTCCACGCGGACCTCCAGAAGTTTGTGTTCATTTAGTGTTTTTGTTTATCTTCTAGCTCTCCCTCCAGCCCCCGTGCTTGCCCGAGCCTTCTCAAAGGAGTTGGCGACGGGCAAGCGACTGCTGCACCTCAGGGGCTTCTCCGAGGGATACCAGCAGCTGGAGCAGCAAAATGCTGAGGTTGCTGCAGAGCAGAAGGCGCTCTTGCTTCACTGTGTATTGCTCGAGGTTAATGTCTGCACGGTTCTCTCAACATCAATGACATTTGAGTTCAACGTGCGGTTGCATCCAGAGCACGCCCGACACACAACTGCATTGGCGCTTCGCACCATGCACTTTGGTTCTTGAGGTTTGGCATGCAGGCAGGAGAACAATAAGGTACAACTGAACATTTAGCGATAATTCGTTGTTGCTTTTTCGGGCATTGCCGTTGCAATTGTGTTATTCGTTTTCTTGTTCTACCCTGCGAATTCGTCCCCAACGTTAGCGGAGGCTCATCCTAGGAGAGCCTCTTGTAAGTCTCACGAAGATTTTTAAGGTCTTGTTGGGGCCTTCTGGAAGCCTCCTGGTTTCCTCCTGGGAGCATATGGGGGCTTCCCAGGGCCACCGTGCTTCCAATCGCGGTCTCCCTGAACGACCGGGTCACGATTTGGAATGATTCGGGAGGCGTTTTGGGGTCATCTTGGGCTGTCATGGGGTTCCTCTTGGACTGCCTGGAAGCCCCCTTCGTTTGAATTGGGCGATTATCTGGTCTCCTGGGCGGCCTCAAGACCGAAGAATTGAGCATTCCCAAAGTCAGACAAAAACCCATAGGAAATCAATGTTCGTCGCGTTGCGAATACCTCTTGGTGGTCCTCTTTGGGTCATCATCTTCGGGCGTCCTGCTGGGTGTTTGGGGCCTCTGTGGGCTCTCGTGGGGCCGTCCGGCCGCCTTCCTGACCGATTTGGGTCCGTTGCCTAGGCCCTACAGGGGCTTCAGGAGCCCCAGAAAGCACATGGAGACCGTCCGCAAGGGCCTCCCGGGTGCCCCCGGGGCCCAGGATTCGGAGGGGTCCCGTTGAGAGGGGGGGTCGCAGGGTCCCAGATTACACACAGAAAAAGGAAATGTGCATATATATATATATATATATATACATATATGTTTATTTATATACACCTACATTTGTGCTCACATATACATCTACGTATCAAATATGTATATGTGTGTACATGTGTGCGTATGTTTGTATGTATGGTTGTATGGCTGTATGCATACGTGCATGAATGTATACATGGATGCCTGGATGTGTCTGTATGTAAGCATGCATGCATGTCTGTATGTATAATGGACGGATGTATGGATGCATGTATGTATGGATGCGTGTATGCAGCTATGCTTGTATGTAGGATGTAAGTGGGTAAATGAGTAAGTAAGTGTGATGTATACTTGTTACAGAGGTATACACATACATATATATATATATATACAGATCGGAGACACGAGGCATGGACGTTTGCGAGCGACGGCGCCTAAAAGGCGCAAAATGTTTGCGAAGTCTACACGTCAGCCTCTTGGGGGACGATCGAGGAGGAGGGGGATCGAGGATGATAAGGAGCACTAGCAGTATCGACGAGGATGAGGGGGAGGAGGAGGAGGAGGAGGAGGAGGAGGAGGAGGAAGAGGAGGAGGAGCATCCAGGAGGCTCTCGAGAATTGGTATTCCCGCGATGCCCAAGGTCACCCGCGGGGGGCGCGACGATCATCGGGCGTCACGCGTCGTCGCCTGGGCCGCGAAGGTGCTCTTCCCCAGGGCGGCGGCGCGAGGGCGCGCAGATCATCGCGCATCGCGGGGCGCGGTGCGCGAATTTGGTGACGTCGGGATGCCACGCGACCGAGCGCTTGCCGCCAGTGTCCTGGCGAAGCCCGGGCCCCACAGCGGGGCCCTCCTGCGGGCCGGTGCGATCGACGGGGTCGGCTCCGCCGCGGACTGCCGCACCACGTTGCTCCAGCCACGCCTTTGATAAAGTGGCAAGCGGGAGCTCCATTTTGACAAGGAACCGCCCTCCATTGTCGCAATCGTTCTGCGCAGCTCACTTGTTTGGTAACGAAAACTGAGAGCGTCTCAGGCGAGAGACACCTGCTGAAGAGAAGCTGCGCTCCATCCTTGTCGCTGTTGGAAACGTGTAAGCTGAGTATGCGCGGTGCTGAGGTGAGCGCCGGGTTCTGAAAATGGATCGTTCTCTACCCTTTTTATTTTTTGGAGGCGGTTACGACAGATGTGCGCGACGCAATTGCGAGAGCCGCATTGTGAAAGCGGGCCGCCATCAATATTGTGAAGGCCTTACGGCCAGTGCCGCCGACCTAGAAGGACGACGACGACCACGACGACAACGACAACGACGCGCTGATGACCCTGCCACTGCCTCGGGACATGGGGCTGGTTGTGGAGGGAGGAGGAAGGGGGGGAGGAGGAGGCGGAGTAGGAGGAGGGGGAGGGGGAGGGGGAGGAGGAGGAGGTGGAGGAGGAGGAGGAGGACGACTAGCAAGATGAGGAGGAGGAGGAGGGGGAGGTGGAAGAGGAGGAGAAAGAGGAGGAGGAGGACCAGTGTAAACCCAAGGCCCATCAACGAGTTAGATAGAACCTCCCTCCAAGCTCCCTCTTTACAGGCCCCTACAAGGGGTCCTCTCCACTGAGGGAACCGGCTCGTTGGGGGACAACCGTTTGAAGACCCTGAAGCGTGCCAAAACACCATTCACAGGACGCCAACGCCACGAATCAACTTGACTGTTGCGTCTTGACGATCCTGAATCGCGCCAGGGCCAGGACGCAATTTGGGGACTTCAACACCGCGACCCAAAATAATTGCTGCGCCCTCACAATCTTGAGTAAACACCGTTTCTGGGACGTCGACCATTGGAATCCGTGAAAATCTTGCAAATGTTTAAGACGAGTGTGCGCGCTAAGGCGAGAGATACCTTTTGAAAACGGCCCGCCCTCAATCCGTGAAGCTCTTGTACAGTCAAAGAAACGAATGTGCGCGGCGCCGAGGCGAGAGCCATATTCTGAAAACCACCCGCCCTCCATCTGTAGAACTGCTGCCAATTCCTAATCTTCCACGTCGCAACTGGTGAGGAAGTCTCCGGCCAAACGCCCGGCCCGCCCTTTCGACCGGCCTCGGGGTGCGACAGGGACGAGTTATATAGAAGGAAAAGTATGGAGGAGTAGGAAAGCCGTCTGTCTCCTCGGGGGCAAGCGTCTGGGAGGCGAAAACCAAGGGGGGAAGCCCCGAGCGGGGGAGGGGTCACAACCCCCGGGACCCCCTCGGGGACCACCCCCTGGGACCCCCCCTGGACACCACCCCCGGGCGAGGAAGGGACAGAAGGAACGGCTTCCTCTCGACGAAGTTACGACGTTGTTCGATCCCCCTTCGTTCGTTCGAGCTTCCTTACGACGACGACGACGACGACGACGACGACGACGACGACGACGAAACCGACGACGACGACGACGACTCAAAGGAGGCTGGCGTACTCGAGGCGAGAACCGAGGGGGAAAGCCCCGAGTGGGCGACGGCCCACGAGCCCCGGGACCCCACCCGGGACCCCTCCCCAAGGGCCACTCCCCGGGACCTTCCCCCCCCCCCCCTTTGGCGGGGAAGGGACACAGGAAAGGGGCTTCCCTTCGACGTAATCCCGACATTGTTCGATCCCCCCTGCTTGTTCGATCTCCCCTGCGACGATGACGATTCAAGGCAGGCTGGCGCACTTCAGTTTGGGTTGGGCTGGCTTCGCGTCGAAGGGCCTCTCACGCACGCCGACAGGGTCGGCGGATTTGTAGCTGTTGGCAACTTTGGAGACGAATGTGCGCGGCGCCAATCGAGAGCCACAGTTATAATATCGGCCGCCCTCCATCCGTATAACGGTTGGAGATTTCAAGCTTCAGGGCCACAGGCAGCGAGGAAGTCTCAGGCGCACGGCCCGCCCTGCCGACACGCTCGGCGGTGCGACGGCGAGGAGCTACTCCTGAGGAAGAGGGTCGGCGCTTGAGCAGGGGCAGAATCAGGGACCAGCGAAGGAACAGCATCAGCAGAGGGAAGAGTGGGGGCCGCCGCAGGTTTTCCAGGCCGCCTGGGGGGGTGGTGATCATGGAGCCACCCGAGCCCCGCCCGCGGACTTGTTTTCGGGGACGGGGGCCGTGTGTCGCCAGGCGACGGCAGTGGACCACATGTTTCGGGCGGGGCGTGGTTGGAAGAGATCTTCCACGCAGGCGGGCAGACGATCCAGCAACTTCACACCTTTACCGTGTACTGTGCTCGTTCTAGCAGCATGCTGGGAAGTTGGCTATACTTCTTGACCCCTGTGTGCCGTGTCGAAGGCCTGATCGGCGTTCGACACACATTTTTAGTTGGGCGAAGTTTGTCGCCCATGTGCTATTGACGAAATCCCTCATCGTATGGCTGGGGCCAGTTTACCAATGTAGATCACATTTCCATGATAAATGTTGCGCCCGCCTCACATATTCGCCGCGCCCAGCAGCAAGCCATCGACGCCATGATAGCCTTCAACCCAGACTACTTCGTAGTAGACGGAGAAGTGTTTGGCAGTGGCTTCCAGTATTACGCGAAGGTGGCCATGCTCTGCTGGTCAACATGAGCCCTCTCGCACGAGCTGATGTGCATCTTATGTTTCTCCGTGTGTTAGTACGAGGTCATTCGTCTTTTTGTGTGTCGAAGTAGTTTTCTTTCTTCTCCATTGGAGTAGTATGTTTAGCATTGGCATCACTCGGATTTGAGTTGTTATTTAATGCTTCGCTCATTCCGGCGGCCCATTTCGCATCATTGTGGCTGCGTGGTGGTGTTATCGTGCCCTTGGGGGCCTCTTGGGGGCCTCAGGGCCGCTCTTGGGGCTCTTGGCCCTGAGGGCGGCGCCCAGGAGCAGAACCATCTCTGATGGGAACTTGCTGGGGATCTGCCCGGAACCTGCTCGGGGTATATGTCGGCCGCGGACCTCCAGGGGCCGCCCTGCGCGCGCGATCTAGAAGTACTGTTGCCACAGATCTTAGCACTCCTCTGGCCCGTTGGGCCACCAGAGCTGACGCCTACTAGTGACGTTCGGCCCATCACCCCACCGTGCCTGGGTTGTGTGTCTGAGGCCACTCGGAGAAGAGGATGAGGAGAAGGAGGAGGAAGAGGAGAAGGAGGAGGAGGAGCAGGAGTAGGAGGAAGAGGGGGAGAAGGAGGAGGAGGAGGAGGAGGAGGCGAAGACGGAAGAAGAGGCGTCGGCAAATTTGGAGCGCGTTTGGCGTGAGCCGTGGGCCTATCCAACCACCGTGCCTGAATGATGTGCCTGAAGCCATTCGGATGGCTGGTGGAGTTTCGAGGGAGGCTTCTCGAAGACGGTTTGGAAGGAGTTGTTCAGTTTGTGGGAGGCCCCAGGGGGCTTTGTGAGAGCGTTGTGAGGATCTTGTGGGCTCTCTTGGAGCCTCGTAGGGCCTCTTGGAAGCTTCCGGGAGCTTCCTCGGGGCGTCTGGGGCCCGAAGGTTCGAAATGTTCCTTCTGGTTCCTCCTCTGGGCCCCTCTTGGCGCAGTCCGAGGCCGTCTTGGCCAGTCTTGGGGCTCCTAGAGCCGTATTGAGGCTTGCTGGGGCTGTCTCGGAGCCTTCTTGGGGACCTCTTCGGCTGTCTTGGGGCGGTCTTGGGAGCCCCTGGGGCCGTCTTGGACGCTGCGAAGGCTGAGGAGGCGAATCGGGTAATAGTTTACGTTTTGCGAAGGGAATGGAACGATATTTGCTTCTTGGGGCTCTTTTCGGAGGCGTTTTGGAGGCGTGATGGACGTTGTGGAGGCCTGTGGGGCCGTCTGGAGGCCATCTTAGACATCTGGGAGTCGGAGCCCTCTGGAAGCTCCTTGGGGTTCCTGGAGCGATCTGGGAGCCGCCAGAACCGCGCCCGGAAGTTCCGCCATCTCTGATCCAGAGTTTGCCTGGTGTCCGTCCGCGTACTTGTCGTCCGGGGATCCCCAGAGGCCACCCCGCGCGCGCGAAGTAGAAATATTCGAAAGTTGATATCAGAGATCTTAGCACGCATCTGGCCCCTTGGGCCGGCGAAGTTCAATTGTTGCTGCGGTGCTTCTGCCATCTCTCAACAATATCGCTACATATGTTGCAGATCGCCTCGTCGTGTAGTCTGCTCTCCGCAAGTGATGTTATCTCACCATGTGCGCACAAGGTGGGCAATCCCAGGGGATGCAGTTCATCCAACATTGATTTTGGGTTCAAGGCATGGGTGCATTTCGAACCCTCAGAGGATCTAGATCCTGAGGGCCATGGAGCTCTCCACCTCGCATGCGCGGGACAGCAAGCAGGGGCGCTCAAGAGTGCAATAGTGTTGAAGAGTGGTTGGATGTTGAAAAGCATTCGCGCGAGTGCTTATGAACTTAGAGGTTGTTGTACATCCACAGAAGCAGGCCAAACGGCGCGCCGACAATAGCACAAGTCGAAACTCTTTTTTCGAACATGTAGAATTGGTCCGATGCAGCCGTTGGAGCGGGCCACATGGCAAACCAATTAAAAGCAGAGACGAGGATCAGCTGCGCCGTAGGGCTTAGGTGGTGCGGCTGAACCTTGCCTGAAGGCGCCACACTGGACACCCCGCAGATGTACGACATGATGTCGATATCGCCCCCATTTGCCGCCCCACTGATTCGGAAAATCGTCATCACAAAGTTCATCTGACAGGACGCTGCCACAGCTCCGATGGAGGTGGCATTACCGCCAAATCTCCTGTCGTGGCATGTACAGTTGTTTGCGGCCCATCCCGCCACCGTGCCTGGGCTGCGGGTCCGAGGCTTCGAAATTACACACTATAGTGTCTTGGGATGCCTCTCAGGGGCTCTTGGAGAGCTGTTGGGGGCCTCCAGTGAATCTTGACTCAAGCCATACAGGTCGAAGTGACGCGCACGCTGAGATCGGAAGGACTGATTTCTCTTGACTGAGTGATCTATCGGATGCCTCGTCCTGCGTCAACGTTCCAGCCAGACCTGGAGAGGTTCTAGGGATTCTTCGTTGGCTGCCAGTTCGACGAACTGCATGGCAAGGCTGGCCTGTCTGTCCTCCGCAGGATGGGCTCGAGCAAGACCACGACTATCTTGGGGGTCGTTGGAAACTTCTAAAACGAATGCGCGCAGCGTTGTGGCCATATATCGGATGAATTGCCAGAAGCTTTGAAAGCGAATGTGCGCGGCGTTGAGGCGAGAACCACATTTTGAAAACCAACGGTCCTCCGCCCATGTAGGCGCTTGAAACGTTCACACCGAATGTGCGCGGTGCTACAGCGAGAACCACAGTTTGAAAACCAGCGACCCTACGTATGTGTAGCTCTTGGATGCGTTCAAAACGAATTCGCGCGGCGTTAAGGCGATAACCACATTTCGAAAATTGACCGGCCTCCATCTTTGTAATTGGTGCAAGCGTCCATCGCGAATGCGTGCGGTGCCAAGGCAAGAATCACATTTTGAAAGGAGTCGCCCTCCATCTGTGTAGCTGTTGGAGCTATTTAGCTTCAGTATAATCAGCCGTAAGAAAGTCTCAAGCGAAACGCCCGGCATGGCCTGCGGACACACGTCTAGTTGGGTGGCAGGGATGGTTCACAATGAAGAGGGTTGAAAGAGGACAAGCGCTTAGAAATGCGGATGGGAACGAGAAGGAGGGATGGGAGGATGAGGAGACAGAAGCAGAAGGGCAGAGATGGGAAAGCAGCGAAGGAGGAAGAAACAAGAGGACGCCATCATCACCACCATCACCATCACCATCACCATCACCATCACCATCACCATCATCATCATCATCATCATCATCATCATCAACATCATCATCATCATCATCATGATCATGATCATCATCAAAGCATCAGCATCATCAGTATCAGCATCATGATCATCAGCATCATCATCATCATCGCCAGCCACTGCCACCACCATCACCACCTGCATCATCCTCATCAGCAGCATCATACCCCCTCCCCTTCGAACATGAAGACGAAGACGAAGACGAAGACGACGTGGACAAAGGGGGCGACGACGACGACGACGACGTCGCAGCCTTGGCAGCGGCCACAAGGCTTGCTTGGAGACCACAAAGACCTTCATGGTGCCCGCCTCGCTCATCTGGGCGCGCCCGGGGCGCGTCGCGACCGCGAGCCTTTGGGGTGGACGACGACGACGACCACCACCACGCCGACGGCGGGGGGGAGGACGCGGGGAGGAGGGGGAGGAGGAGGAGGAGAAGACGCAGGAGGAGGAGGAGGAGGAGGAGGAAGAGGAGCAGAGCAGAGCAGAGCAGCACCAATGATCTGATGACGTTTGACTGCCTATATAGACGCACCCTGAGGGCCCACAGGAAAACAACAACGGATCTGGAGGAGGAGGAGGAGGAGGAGGAGGAGGAGGAGGAGGAGGAGGAGGGCGCGGGGGAGGGAGGGGGGAGGGGGGAGGAGGGGGAGGAGGAGGGGGAGAAGACAGGAGGAGGAAGAAGAAGACGAGCAGCAGAGCAGAGCAGAGCCGAGCCGAGCAGAGCAGAGCAGAGCAGAGCAGGAGCAGCACTCAAGCCCATCAAGCCGTCTGAGGGTCATCTGATTCGCGTGGCCGCAGGAGGGGGAGGAGGAGGGGGGAAGGACAAGGGAGGGAAGGAGGAGAGGGAGGACACGGGAGGGAGGCCGGGGGGAGGAGAGAGATGAAGGGAGAGGATGGGGAGGAGGGCGAGGGAAGAGGACGAGGGAAGGAGGCAAGTGGGCGGGGGGGGAGGAGGGGCCGCGGGGCCCAGCTCTGCGGCGACGCCAGACGCCGCCGGGTGCCGCCGCAGCCGCGCACGGGGCGCGGCGCCGGCCGGCCGCGGCCGACAGCGACGACGACGACCTCGGCGCCCTCGGGCCTGGCCGGCCATAGCCACGGCGATGGAGACGACCACGACGACGACCTCGGGCTTCGTCGATCACCACGGCCTCGTGCCTCGCCGACCGTGACGGCGACCTGGGCCTCCGGGCCGCTCCCGGTGTCGCTTGGGACCCGCGCCCGGCCGCAGTGCTCCAGGAGGCGCGCCAGGGCCCCGGAAGCGACGACGACGACGACGACGACGACGACGACGGCGACGGCGACGGCGACGGCGACGGCGACGGCGACGGCGACGACGGCCGCCGCCGCCGCCAAAGGCTGCCGGGGGCGAGGACCGCCGCCCTCAGGGAGCTCCTGAGTGGCCGTCCAAGACCGCCGAGACGACGACGGCGACGACGACGACGACGACGAAGTCAACGACCCCTGCCCTCTGGAGGCTGCCGACGGGCCGCCAGCGGGCCGCCGAGGAGCCGCCAAAGGGCCGCGACGACTACAACGACCACGATGACCACGGCCACGACGGCCACGACGACCGCGACAGTCCCGACCAGGACCACGACGGTGCCGCCGCCAACGACGACGACGACGACGACGACGAACACTTCGGCGACGGCGGCGGCGGAGACGACAACGACGAGGCGACGATGACGTCGGCGGCGGCGGCGGCGCGGACGCGCCCGCAGTTGGCGAGCGCCGCGGACGGGCGGACGCGCCGGGCCGAGAGCTGGGCAGACCAGGGCTTCGCCGTCACCGTCTGGCTCCTGCCGGAGGCGATCGGCGTCGTCGCCGACGTCGTCATGTGCTTTGAGGGGAGCGGGCCCTAACGGAGACGGGTCCTGTGGTGTTGCCCTGTTTTTTTCCTTCACGGTTGCCGGGGAAATTCAGAAAATGAACGAGGACGGGAAGCTGGTCTTGGGGGAAAACACTAGGGTCCAGGACCTGTTTCCCTCAGGGCTGGCTTCTCTGATGCTGATGCTGACATATTCGTCGTCTTCTTCCACCCGCTCCCCTATCACGCCTCCCCCCCCTCTTCCATCTCCCTCCTCCTACATCAGTTCTTCCTCTTTCCGCTCCTCCTCCCCTTCCTCCGCCATCCCCCTCTCCCTCGCCTGGGGGGGGGGGTGCACTTGAGTTTTTACATTGTTCGGGGTGGGGTCGCCGCGGAGTAGGAGGAGGGAGGGGAGGAGAGATGGGAGGACGAGAGAGAGGAGGAGGGGACGAGCGAGGCAAGGAGGAGGACGAGGAGTTCGAGAGGGAGCTGGTGATTTTATGCATGCACAGAAAAGGCCTCCAGCCACGCCCTCCCTTGCGGTGGGAGGGGCAGGAATAGGAGGGGGAGGAGGACTAGGGGGAAGGAGGAGGAATAGGGGGAAGGGGGGAGGAGGAGGAGGGGGGGAGGGAGGAGGCGGGGGGAGGATGGAGGAGGGGAAGGGAGGAGGAGGAGAAAGGGGGATGAGGGAGGAGGAGGGGGGGCCAGTGTTTTGGGGGGCAGCCAGAGAAAGCTGGCGGCCTGCGAGGCGGCAGCTCCAACCAAGTGGCCCCTGGTGAGTCAGATGGGCCATCGGCGCGAGACGGCCTGTGGAGACATGCAGACAGGCCGCCAGCCAGCGGCAATTCAGTGGTATCTCTCGCGGCTGGCACCAACTCTTGGCTGTTATGCGTGTTGGTCGCAAAAAATATCACAAAAAACGTCCGCCGTCTGAGCAGGCCTCCCTCGCTCGCCTTCTCTGTCTCTCTCTCTCTCTCTCTTTCTATGTGTGTCTCTCTCTCTCTCTCTCTCTTTCTCTCTCTCTCTCTCTCGTTCTCTCTCACTCTCTCTATCCCTCTCTCTTTCTCTATTCCTCCCTCCGCGGCCACCTCTCCTCTCCTCCCCTCCCGCCTTGCCCTGGCGCAGTTCGCCACGGCGCAGCCGGCCGCTGCTTCGGTCCAGGGGCCCGCCTTGAGCGGATGTGGGCCAGGCGGGAGCGCCGCCGTTTTTGTTTCAGCAGGCCTCTTCCGAAATGGGCCGCAGCCCCGATCGCCATCCCAACCGAAGCGCCCTGTGAGGCTGAACAGCAGTCCTGCCCCAACCCCCATACGAAGCGCAGGGAGGGGCCCGGTCCCCTACCTCGATCCGTCTCCCTCCTCCTCCTCCTCCTGACTCTCCTCCTCCGCCCTCATCCACGAAGTTCTCTCAGGCTTCGTTCGCTCATCCCTCCTCCTCCCTCCTCCTCCCTCATCCTCTCCCTCCTCCCTCATCCTTCGTCCTCCTCCTCCTCCCCCTCCCTTGTCCTTTGCCCTCCTCCTCCTCCCCCTCCTCGTCCTCCTCCTCCTCCTCCTCCACCTCCTCCTCCTCCTCCGCCTCCTCCTCCTCATCCTCCTCCTCCGCCTCCTCCTTCTTCTCCTCCTCCTCCTCCTCCTCCGCCTCCGCCTCCTCCACCTCCTCCTCCTCGTCCTCTTCGTCCTCCTCTTCCTCCTCCCTCCCCCCTCCTCCTTTGGCTCGTCTTCGAAGAGGGAGGGGGTCGACAAGGAGACGACGACGACGACGACGACGACGACGACGACGACGACGACGACGACGACGACGACGACGACGACCACCACGATTCTGGCGCCCCTCTTGCTCCAGGTTCTCCCTCCTCCGCTGCCTCGTCATCAAGGCGGAAGGAGGGCGAAATCGTCGCGCTAGTTCCTCCCCCTGCTGCCTCTTCATCAAGGGGGACGAGGGGGCCGACGAGGACGACGTCGACGGCCACAGGCGCCCGCCCCCCGCCCCCCCCCCTGGCGCGAGAGGACCAAATCTCCGCGCGGCTGGACCGCACGTTCGGCGCCTCGGCGTCTGCGGCGCTGCGGCCCCTCGACGCGACCGCCAGAGGCCCCCCCTGCACTCCCCCCGCCCTCATCCACAAAGCTCTCTCAGGTTTTGTTCGCTCCTCCCTCCTACTCCCTCATCCTCTCCGTCCTCCCTCATCCTTCGCCCTCCACATCCTCCCCCTCCCTCGTCCTTTGCCCTCCTCCTCCTCCTCCTCCTCCTCCTCCTCATCCTCCTCTTCCTCCTCTTCTCTCTCCTCCTCCCCCCTCCTCCTCCTCCTCCTCCTCCTCCCCCTCCTCCTCCTCCTCCTCCTCCTCCTCCTCCTCCTCCTCCTCCTCCTCGTCCTTCTGCCCCCCTGCACTTCCCCCCCGCCCCCGCGCGCGCGGCGCCGCGCTGGCGGCGGGCGCCGGTCGGCGGCGCGCCCCGGCGGGAAGGCCAGAGGGAGCTCGGGGCCCGAGGCCCGAGGCGTTCGGACGTTCTCGTCGGTTCCCGCAGGCTCTGCAGCCTCGGAAGCAGTCGGCCCGACAGAATGATCGGTTCGTATCGGGGGAGCGTAAGACCCGGGTTTGCCGGGACTCGGGTTCGCCATCGTTTTTTGACGACCGCGACTCGGATTTTGACGAGGAGGAGTTTCGTGGGATGTCTGCAGCGGGAGGCCTCGTCAAAATGCAGGCTCGGCCTCGTCATTTTTTTGACGACCTCGTCGGGGATTTCCGAGTCCCCCGTACCCGGGTCTTACGTCTCCCCGATCGTACGCGCGCAAGCGATTCAATCTGCGGAGCTCGGCGCCCTGGCGCGAACGGCCGAACGACCCCTGCAGCGGGACACTCTGGCAACAAGGTTGGCCGCCACGAAAATCTTCGGTTCTGCGCCGGCACCGCGCAGGGGTGCCGAACAGAGTGTGCAGTGTTGATGAGCAGGCCGACCATGCCAAATCGAGGGTGCCCTCGTGTCCTGTGCCTCGCGACCCGCGCATTTCGACATTCCCATGGCAGCGTGGCCCTGAGAAGGGTCTCGTGTCCTCCCGCGCGCCCTCCCCGATCAAATCGCAGCGTACGCTCCGGCAGGTGCGCCTCGCCGAGGGCGTTTCGGGGGGGCGCCGTGGTCGTCCCGAGCGGCCGCCAGAGAGCCGAGCTGTGGCCCCCAAGACCACGAGGCGCCCGAGAGGGGGTCCTCTTCCTCCTCCTCCTCCTCCTCCTCCTCCTCCTCCTCCTCCTCCTCCTCCCAGGCCTTCCTCTCAGAGGGCTCTCAGGAGGCCTCCGGCCTTCTGACAAGCTTGCTGAGCCTTCTCCGGGGGCGGGGGCGACTTCTCAGGAGGCCAGCGGGCCTCTGCGAAGCCCCGCCGCCCTTTTGAGAAGTCCTGCCCCCTGGCGGCGCGCCGCCGAGCTGACGACGGCGGCGAGGACGGCGAGGGCGAGGGCGAGGACGAGGGCGACGACAGTGACAAAGACGGGAGACGGGGGAGCAAGGCTGAGCAAGGGAGAGGATGATGGGGGGGAAGAAGAGGAGGAGGTGGAGGAGGAGAGAGAGAGAGACGCGGGAGCAGGAGAAGGGAGCGAAGGAACAGGAGGGGAGGGGAGGAGGAGAAGCAGGAGGAGGGCCAGGGAGCAGAGAGGAGAACGGGGAGGGAAGACCAGAGCGACCCCCAGGTGCATCGGCGATGCTGCAATGCTTCCCCCCCCCCCCCGCCCCTCCTCCATGAGCCTCTGAGGTATGTGTGTTACGCCCGTTTGCACTTCGGAGGCAGCCCGCGGAACATAGAGATGCGAGGGCCCCGTAAAGCAGGTTGGCCCTTCGAGCGAGAGCCCCAGTCGGAAGACGCATCGCCCCCCCGTTCCCGGGTGTGTTGCGAAGTGCGATATTTCCACAGTGGATGTTTCAACATCGCGCAAGCGAGACCCCCGTATTGAAAACGAGCAGCCCTTTCATCCGTGTACAGCGCACCCAACGGCTTAAAGCAGCCTAAAGACGCGAGCACCACTTGGCGGCAACAGCCCCCTCAGTCATCCGTGCAGCGGTTGGAAGCTGCTTGAGTCTTACATGCGTTGCGCTCGGGCCGCCTTGTGTCATTCCAACGGTCGGACAAGTTTTCATCGTTGTTGTAATCGCTTCAGATTACTCTGCGCGGTGCTACGGCGAGAGCAACAGTGTGGATTCGGCACGTTATCTGAGCAAGTATGTCGGAAGTGTGCGCTGCGAATGTGCGCAGCGTTTATAGCCGGTATTCACACATTGAAAACGGCCCACCTTCCATCCATGCAACTCTTCGGATATCAGGTTTCAGGGAAGTCTCAGGCGAAACGCCTGACCCGCCCTACCGATTCGTCAAGAAGGATGGACGCAGGGACAGGGAGAGGGAGGACGTGGAGGGAGACGGAGGGGAGGGGGAGAAGGGAGAGGAGGCGGAAGGAAGAGGAGGAGGAAAAGGAGGACGAGTGCAAGCTGAAATCTCATCAGCGAGGTTGGAATCAATTGTCCGTCCAAGCTCTCCTTTTCGAGGCCTCTTAATGATTCATTTTTATTGGGGGAAGTGAGCCGTTGGGAGACAACTGTGTGAAGATCCTGAGGCGCGCCAGAGCACCATTCCCGTGACTTCAATGCCACGCACCAGCCTGATTGTAGCGTCTTGGCGGTCCTGAACCGTGCCAGAACACCGCCGCTGGAATTTCAACACCGCGAATCAATGTAACTGATGCCCCCTGACAATCCCGAATCGCTCAAACAAACATGTCTGGTACGCTAACGATGGGGTGGGTTCTGTGAAACCTTGGCAGATGTTTAAGTCGAATGCGCGCAGCGTTGAAGCGAGAGCCTCAGTATTGAAAGGACCCGCCCTCAGTCCCTGAAGCAGCTGCAAGATTTTAAACACGAACGCGCGCGGTGCAAAGGCGAGAGCGACATGTTGAAACCACACACCTTCAGTCCGTGTGTTTAAAGACGAATGCGCGCGGTGTGCAAAGGCGAGTGCCTCAATTTGAAAACCACCCGCCCTGAATCCGTTAAATCCCAGCAGGTGTTGAAGGTGAGTGCGCGCGGCGCTAAAGCGAAATCCACATCTTGGAAGCGGCCCGCCCGCTATGTGTGAAACAGTTGACATCTCCTTAACTTAAGGATCATAAGTAGAAAGGACGGTTCAGGCGGAAAGCACGCCCCGCCCTTCCGATTGGCCTCGGGGTGCGACAGGGAGGAGTTACTTAAAAGGAAAAGGAATGAAGGAGGAGGAGTGGCAGGAGGAGAAAAGTGGATACCGCAGGGGCATCGAGCTTGCTTCGTGTTGTCGCAACGGAAAGAGAAGGAGAGGAGGAGGTGGAGGAGGAGGAGGAGGAGGAGGAGGAGGACCGAGTGTTGAGCTACCCGACAAACTACCCGACAAGGTCGTTGAGAGAAGCTCACCCGCGGCGCGGATGCTCCGTTCTAAGCTGATTAAACCCAAGGCCCGCCGCCGCTTGATCGAGATAGGCGCTCCGAGGGGGCTTCATAATTCTATCGCGCTGGCCTACTAGCCCACAGAACTGAGTGGTGGCGAAATGCCAGCATGCCATACAAAAGCAGGAACCCTTAGATTGGCACAGCCTCATACCATGAGAGATGTCGGCCCGCCCCCCAGCAGTATGACCCCCTCCCCCTGCACAGGCAGAGACGAGAACTTGCCATCAACTGGGACAGGTGAGAAACGCGGCGATCCCCACCGTGTGACCCACTGCGACTCGGCAGTGAGCAGCGCAAACATGGTTTTCGAGAGTATGCCAGCTTGTCGGATGAGGGCAGAACGGAAACCAACGAGGGGGCGGGGGGACAAGGAGGAGGAAGAGGAGGCTTTGTTGTCAAAGAGATCCTTGGGGTGATAGAGAACCTGGGCCCCACCGCCACTTCGTCCACTAGCAGGAGTGCTCGACACACGAACCTGTAGGGCACTGGCTGCTGTAGCATGCACAATGCTTTGTGTAAGCTTTGAGATGGAGGCCCGAAACGCCCTACAACGACATCGAGTTGCAATGCGCCTAGAAGCCGCAGCATAGAGTGCCACCCCATGTTGGCCATCGACAGACGTTGCTGAGATGTTCTTTCCACCGTTCTCACGGTGGATCGGACCCGTCTGGTAACCCTCTGCGAGCCAAATCGGGGACTTCGAGGACCAAGAGTTTACACGCGGGCTTCAATTGATTTGCGTGTCATGAGCATTCCGACGATTAAGATGGTCAGTGGGCCTCTGAGTCCCGCGCGAACCTTCTCCCACCACGATGCAGCCGCGTCCCGATAGGGCGCAAGCCTACTCTCGGCTGGCACTCGCAACTCCTGAACAACAAAACGATAGCCGTGGGCTCGAGACTGAAATGGACGCCCTTCGACTCCGCGATGCCCATACACCGCCCGTTCCAGCGTCGCCAACGATGAGGCACATAGATCCGAAGCGGGGCCAAGGCACTGGGACTCAAGTCTAGAGGCCACGGACGACAAGAAAGCATTGGACGGAGGGCAATGGGCAGCAGGGATACACCCCGCTGCACCTCGAGCACGCAGCCCAATGTCGCGCTCGACAGCCTCGGGACTGGGAGATCTACTCAGTCTCTTCTGCCCAGCCAAACTCAGGGAAGCAAACAACGACATAAGCATTAAAACTGGGAGGCCCGCGCGGATTTCTCGGATCGGCGCTGGACCCCCCTCCCTGGCGCGCGGACCGCGCCAGGGGCGGCGCCGGAGGCGCCGCCAGGGGGCTCCAGCGCCGATCCGAGAAATCCGCGCGGACCTCCGAGTTTTTCATGGATAAGCCACTGCTCGTTCCCCAAAAGCTGCCCGCGCACCTCGCGATGTGGTGTCCGGCGTCGCTCGGTCCTCGCCTGCGCACCGCTGGCTGGCGCTCGACCCTGGCCGCTGGCCGAGACTTCGAGCCAGGGGGCAGGCTCGCGGCGGGGTCTCTCGCTGCCTCGGGCGGCCGCGCCGGCGCAGGCGGGCGACGCGCCAACAAGGGCTTCCGCGGAAGGCCGAAGCGTGATAATATTGAGACCAGAGCAGGTCTGCCAGGGCACCACGAGAGTGACATTAGCCAGACCAGGGCACGAGGTTGCCGTGGAGCTTCCCGGCGACGTGGTCTGCACGACTGCCCTTCTGGCCCGCATCACGCGCAGGCACAGTCGATCGGGGCTCGACGCCTTCCCCTCCGACACGCGAGCCCGTCCCTTCCAAGCCCCCGGCAATGCTCGAGGAGGTGGCCGCAGCTGCACAACAGCACGGTCGGCTCATTCACCCAGACGAGACAAAGGTTTTTGATTCACTTCTCGAGCACACTGGGAGAGCACGGTGTCGCGTGATCAGAATTAACGGCATGGATATCGAGAGTTCACCTCGCCATGGCATTGCCCAGCATCTGGGGCAGGTGATCGGAGCCCAAGACGCCATGCCCACCGATAACGATACAACACCGACTGACAGCAGAATGGGCCGCATTTGCAACACATAGCCACGAGCCCACAGGGAGGAACTACCCACTGAAACACTGACTCCGACACGTCAATGGCCCTGTCGCGCCGACGGCACTTTACGGCACAGCTGCATGGACTTTGACCGTGTTTCTGAGACAACAGCTACAGCGTACACAGCGCTGGACGAATTTGTTGTGGCGGCGCCAGGTTACCGACGCGAGCGATTCCGATAGCGCAGAGACCGACGCGACCGATCATGGCAACAATCACGAACAGGTGGTAGAATTGGAGCCGCGGGTGGCGCACATCCGAAGATCGACGCGACGGGCAGAGGCTTCTATGCACAAGCACGGAGCTTGCGATTGGGGCACGGCACAGAGAAAGACGGTGCGGAGACGCGCCGGCAGCGCGGCGCGTCATCAGTTGGCACCCCCCTTGCATGATAATCGGAAGGGCCACGGGGCACAAGGTAGGCAGCACGCATTGTGGGGACGACGACGTACGCGAGATCCTTTGTCACAGGCGCGCACCATCGACCAGCTCGCAGCAGTCGTGACGTTACCAACGCTTGTTGGTAGGTCTTCTGCGGCGAACGACGCTAAACGAAGCTATGCGGGTGCAAATGGAAAAGCAGATCGCAAACGACGATGCCAGCAGCGACCCCGAACGCATGCAGCGCAGCCTAGAATTCCTCGCGCCGACATCGACTCCCAGAGCCTGGGGGGCCCTTCTCCTGCTTTCCCTTCTACAGGGTGGCTTGACCTGTTCCAGGCGCTTGAGGCCGCGGTGGCCCGTTGGTCTGTCTGTCCGACGCGTGAGAGAATGCCCGAGGCAGCGAGGGTCGCGGAGGGAAAATTGCGATCGTTTTCGTATTCCCCCCCATGGAGTACATCTTGGCTGGTTTTTGGTGCTTTTGGGCGCCTGTTTCAAGCAGGTGGAATCGCCCCCCCCAGAGGACGCACTGCTGCAGACAGTCGCGTTAAGCAGAGGTCCGGAGCCAGACCCCCCCCGCCCTCCCCCTTCCACCCAGTGCCGAAACGCGGAATGAGCAAACGTTCACATTGGAGCCCCGCGCCACGTTCCAAGGGAGTTGGAGCGCTCCAAGGAGTATGGAGCGAAAGACGGAACGCTCCGATCCTCGAGAACCTGGGGGTAGGTGCTCGACAGCCAAGCCTACACTGGCACCGCCGCCGGAGCGCGGCCAGCACGGAGGAACGCCCAGCCGCGCGCACGACGGCCGCGGTCGATTCCCTGAGAGATGTTCATAGATTGGATTCCGGATTTCTCGGATTGGCGCTGGACCCCCCTCCCTGGCGCGCGGAGCGCGCCAGGGGCGGCTCCCTGAGATTCCCTGAGAGGTGTTCATAGATTGGATTCCGGATTTCTCGGATCGGCGCTGGACCCCCCCCCCTCCCTGGCGCGCGGAGCGCGCCAGGGGCGGCGCCGGAGGCGCCGCCGGGGGGTCCAGCGCCGATCCGAGGAATCCGCGCGGACCTCCGAGTTTTGATGCTTATGCCACTTTTTGTTCCCCTAGGTCAAGCCGCGGGGGAGCGAGTGGACCCGCATTTGTCTGAGAGGGGCGATCCACCCCCCGCCCCCGCTGGCCTCGCCAAGATTTACCCCGGGACGCAGCGCGGTCGGCAGGCGCCCTGGGGTTGGCCCACGGGGGCAGAGCAGTTCGAGAGACGCGTGCTCCAGCGAGGCCAAAGACAGCAATTGGTCGATTTGGTGGGCCCTTTCCAGCCACATTCCAGAAGGCGTCGCCCATGGCAGTGCCTCGGAGGTGGATAGACCTCCTACCCTGACACGTCGATTAAGGAATTGGCCGTTTTCGGTTCGCGAGTGGGCGTCACAGCCGTTATTTTGGCGGGTCCAGGTCCGTCGGTTTCGGTCCCAGGCCGTCTTCACTAAGGGGAGGTTTACTAAAGGGAGGTTTGCCCACCGCCAAGTGATAGTGCCAGACACAATATGGGAGACCCGATGCCCCTGGGACTCCGAACTAGACGGCCGAGCACATCCGAGGCGCCCAGTCAGCGCGCGGCGGCACGGGGCTCAGACCACCCCCCGACCTATGCGCTTGCGCGTCGAATTTGGCCACTGAAAGCCGCCAGGCCTGCGCTGCGCTGCGAGCTGCATGGGCTGCCTCTGCAGCCGCTGCAGTGCCCGCTGCCTCTGCGTTCGCCCAGGGTTCGGACGCAGCCGCTGCCGCCCTAGCCGCGGCGGACGCTGCCACCACTGCCACCAGTCGCAGAAGCTTTGGTTGGAACGCTCTTGCCCTCTGACCCAAAGGCGGGGGACTTCCTCTCGTTGGCGGGCCTCTTGACGATGGTTCTTCGGCACACTCTTGGCCTTGGTGATCTCGGCCGAGCACTCCGTTGACGAACTGATGCGTCTGCAACAGGTCCACGCGAAAGTGTGTCAACGTCTCGCCCACGCACCCGAGCTCGTCGAGGTTCTCGAAGAGGGAACGGTCGAAGGTGAATGCGAACGGCTGTTTGTCGTCTGGAGAACCTGGCTTGCCACCCGCGCCTGCACTGCCAGGCGCGAGCCTTGCGCGGGAAGCGAGCACTTGGGCGGTTTGCCACTTGAGCAGTTTCGCCCTCGCCAGCTCCTTCGTCAGACTGTGCTCGCTCTCCTCCGCCGCCTGGACCTGCTTCCTCAAACCGAGCCACGGCCCGGACAGACCGGGCGTGGCGACGTTTGGCGTCGCGACAGGCTCCATCGTTCTCCTGAAGGTGGCCCCAGCTTCGCGCTCCTGCTCACAGCCAACCCGCACGGCCAGGATGCGCAACCTTCCCAGGGGCGCCCTGGCATCCTTGCCTCCTCGGCCATCCTTGCCGGCTCTCGCTGGCCAAGCCCCGCTCGCCGAGTGTCGGCGTGGCCGCCCGAGGGGGCATTGGGGGAGGTGTTGGCATTGAGTCGGGTATCTCCCTCTACAGGAACAATGACCAAAAATATGTTTGAAAAATAGTCTGGGGACGATGTGTCGACTATGTTTGACGATTTTTGACTATTGTTCGCCATGTTTTCTGTTTGTTCTAAAATTCCCCTGTAGGGGGACATGCCCGACCCAGTGTTGGCAGAGCCTTCTGCACTGCGTAAACGCGAACCTTTCGCCCCCACGTCGTCGTCGAAGGAGACCCAGGGGCCAGAGCATCCTTGCGGTCGACCCTTGGATTTCAAGCGCGGTGGCGGCTCGTAAATATCGACCTTTCTGTTGCAGCGCGCGCGTACGGAACCTCTGGCCTGGAGGAGATAATTCCTCTCCGCGGTGCCGCATCTTCGGCATTTGGTCCAGGCTCGAGTTGTGGCTGCTTCATGTTTGGTCAGTTCGCTCGATCGCACAATGTGCTCACAGGACAAGTCCAGGCGCAGGAGACATGTTGTCCCTCAGGCCCCCACGTTGGGGACCGATGGGTCGGGCTTGTTTAGCCAAAATGGCTCGGGGCCAGCGGCAGCCTGAGGAAGAGGGGGAGGGGGAAGGGGGAGGCAGAGGGGGAGGGAAGGGGGAGGCCGAGGGGGAGGTGGAGGAAGGAAAGGGGGTGGAGGTGGGGGGGGGAAGATCAGGAGAACGAGACGACACACTTCGAGAGGCGACCTCAGGAGATCGGGATCGCTTCGTGCTGCCGGAAAGGGAAGGAAAGGAACGGAAAGGAAAGCAAAGGAAAGGGAAAGAGAGGAAAGGAGGACGAGGCGGCACGCTTCGAGCGGCGACCTTAGGGGCATCAGGCGTGCTTTGTGTTGTCGCGACAAACAGAAAAGGAGGAGGAGGAGGGCAAGCAGCAGCAGCAGCTGACGAGCGAGCGAAGCGGACCACCTGTGAGAGAGGGAAATCTGGCTCAGGCGAGCGCGGCTCGTGTTTTGCATAGGCTATCGGACAGCGTTGCGGCAAACTCCGAGCGAGGCAGCGGAGCTTCGAAGCCGACCCAGAGATCAGCAGAGGGAGGAGGAGGTCCAGGTCACCCCTCCCGAAAGCGAGGTGGCCTGAAGCTCTTCGAGGACAGCGCCAGTGCCCCGTCGTGGTTCAGGAGTTTGCAGATGACCCTGAAGGCGGAGCTCCAGGATGTCGGGCCCTCGGCCCTTCAGGAGGGGGATCAGGTGCTCCGACGTCGTGGGCCGTTTCAATCCTGGCGCGTTTCATGCACAGCCAGGACGCTGACATCATAATCTTTCAGGGCTAAGGAAAGGACCGAATTTCCGCCCGCCGCGTGGTGAAACCTAGTCGTAGCAGAGGCTCGCCGTGACCAGAAAAAAAGCTCCTTTGCGTTTGATTCGGCGTTCCTTATAGTAGGACGTCGGCTGCACTCGGCATCCGGAGGCTCCTCTCAGGGTGACCTGTGGCGTTCTCGAACGTAGAAGACTAGATACGTACGTGACTTGGCTAAAAAGGAACCTCGCGGGCGCCGTGGGCAATGGCGGAAAACAAGTCCAGGAAAAGAACAGAAAACTAGCAGGCGCCCGCCAGGACTAGAGGACGGTACGGACTTTGTTTGGTATAAGCTTACTAAGTAACGAGGTATAGGTCATAAGTTTCAGTGGTCGTGCCGCCTCTGTATATGCAGTGCACGCAAGGGTAAAAGTCCAACGATCGCCATTCGTCAGATAAAGCGGCACTGTGAGGGCAGTTCTCGGGTTGCTGCCCACGGTTTAGGTGCACCCCCAACCATCAGTACCTTCCTCCCCAACTCCCAAGGAGAAAGCCGCCCAACTCCTTCCCGAGGCTTGAGTGAGGCTGGCTGCGCGCTGTCAAGCTAATGAGTTGGCTGGTCCTGAGGGCTGGCCTGCGTGCCAGTGTGGGATTGCAGGTCGTTCCTTTTCTCAAACGAATTAAGGCTTGTTGAGCTGCGTGCTGTCAGGCAAACATCTGCCTTCCTCGCAATGGTCAGTGTGGTTGGTTGTGCTGCATACTGTCTGGCCAAAAAATGCTGGCCCTAAGACCTGGCCTGTCACAGCCTGTGGCAACACAGGCTTGCAAGAGATGTACACGGAGATCGTAGCCATCGAAGGACCATCTTTAGGGCAAGGTCAGGCTGGTTGGGCTGCGTACTGTCAGGCAAAAAGGGGGGCCCAAGAGGCTGTGCTGCACGCTGTTTTGCAGCAAGATATACAATGCGGCAAGACTAGGGATGAGGCCGAGCGAGAACGGAATGAGGGACTAGCCGACATGCAAGGCACTCGTCAGAAAGAAAAAAAGTATGTGGCAGTTCTTGGGTTGCGGTCCTGGGTTTTTTGAATCCTCCTCCTCCTCCTCCTCCTCCTCCTCCTCCTCCTCCTCCTCATCATCATCATCATCATCATCCTCCTCTTTCAGGCTACTTTCACTCCTCCTCCTCCTCCTCCTCCTCCTCCTCCTCCTCCTGCTCCTCCTCCTCCTCCCCATCCAATGGATCCTGGACGAAGCGTGTCGCCTCCGGGGTAGTGGTCGAGACCACCCTGGGGGGCCCGCGGCCTGCAAAAACGACGCGCATCGTCGGCTGTCCTGCGGGGCGACGACGCCGACGCCCTCGTTGCGGAGGTTCTGCGGCCGTTTCTGAAGGACGCGGCTCGAAAAACCGGCCAGGATGGACCGGGGGGGCGGGTCTGCGGCTTGTAAAAGCGACATTTCGTAGGATGTCCTGGGGACGGCGACGCCGACGCCCTCGTTGCGGGGGCTCTGCGGCCGTTTCTGAAGGACGCGGCTCGAAAAACCGGCCAGGGACCGTGGGGCGGGTCCGGGCACCGATCCTAAATCGGGGGCGGCAAAGAGGGGGGTGATGACTAGGGGGGGGGGGACCTCATGGCGGGGGCCATGATATCTCCCCAGAGTTCGCGGCGCCCCTTCTTGTTTCGATGCGTTCCCTGGGCCCCCCCCCCCCCGGGGCCGCGCACATGCCGCCGGCGATGGTTTGCGCCCCCCCCCTCTTGGGCGCCCCCCTCTTGGCCGCCCCCGACGAAAGTGGGTGTTGGCCAGGCGGCGGAGGCGGCAGCGGCGCGGAGCTGGCCGCCACCTTGCTGAGGAACACCTTTGTGGCCGGCAGAGTACGCACGGAAAGCACCGCCAGTTCTTCCCAGGAGGGAAAAACACAGACACAATGAATCGTCGATTCCCCAGAAAACATGGGAAAATATGGGAAGTGGGGGGGAAGACAAAAACCTAGAAAATATGGGACATATGGCGAATCTGTTTATTTGTGTGTATTTTTTTGTGTGTCCTGGGGCCCCTTCGATCTTCGGAGGCACCAGGAGGCTCCAAAGCGTTTGTGTCATGTGTTGGTCATCGATCGTCGGTCGCCCTCCTCCGACAAGAGACACCCCTCCCAGCGTGATCCCCCAGGGAGATCGAGTGACCCTCAAGTCTGGAGAAGAGTCCATGCCAGCTCGAAGACGCGTCTGCAATCCATCGAAGGCTCATACGGCGAGTCACCGCGTCCCTTGCGTTTTGGAACTGCCTGTGCCGTGAAATATCGATCGGAAGCGCATCCATACTAGTATAGGGGAGATGGCCTCTGAGGTCGGCTTCGGGCTACCGGGGATATCTGTTCCGACCGTTTGAGTGTTCTTGAAGTGCCCGTTCGGGCCATCTTTGGGCTCTCATGCGTTCATGTCGGATATCCCATGCATTCGATAGCGCTGGTGCGAACGGTCTCCGAACATAGAAAGAAGGATATCACCATTATTCGGCCATGTCTCATCACGCAGGTCGTTGTCAACGAATGCCAAAAGCTATGCGTGCACACATATATATATATGTGTGTATGTATGGATACACATGTACATGCATGCATACCTGCATGCAGACATGCATGCATGCATGCGTACATACACATACATCTATAAATGTACAAACATGCGTGTATATATATATATATATATATATATATACAAGATGTTAAGGCTCGCTGCGCTTCGCCTTCTAATCTTGATCTTTGCACCTACGATGTTTCTGGGCGCGGGCGAGAACACAATTGTTCAATGAGGTGTGTGGGAATTGTGCGAGCGGAGGCGAGGCGAGGCGAGTACGCGGTAGCGCCCGGGGCGGGGCTCAGGGCGCAGAGTTGGTGGACGCTGGAGTGGAGGTGAAGGTGGAAAGTCGGATGCCGGACGCTAGAGGTCGGAGTGCTGAGCTGATGGAGGCTGGAAGTCTATAGGTGGAAGTCCCACCAGCCCTTTAGGGCTACGGTGGTATAACGAGTTTGGTCTTCTCTCTTCCCCTTCCTTCCCCTGCTCGGGGGAGGGGTAACCTTCCCCTGGACCTGGAGGGGGGGGGGGGATGGAGGCGTTAGAGCGTCCAAGATGGCTCAAGATGGCTCCAAGAGGCGCTCCAAGTCGCAAGATGGCCTCCAAGATGGCCCAAGATACCTCAAGATGGGTCAAGATAGCCTCCGACACACCTCCAAGAGTCCTCAAGACGGATCCACGTGCCCTTCGAGCCCTCCACGGCGCCCTCCAAGAAGCCAAAACCCTTCAAAAGCCTAAGGAAAGTCAAAACCCTGTTCATCGCATTCTCGTCTTTTCGCTTCCGATGGGCCCCTGAGGCATCAAGATGGCCCCAAGATGGCCCAAGAGAGCCCCAAGAGGGGCCCAAGAAGGCCCAAGACGGCCCCAAGATCGCCCAAGAGGCTTCCAAAGAGCGCTCCAACACGTCCCCAAGACGCCGTTTGAGAGCCTCCGAGGGGGGGACCTGAACTGAGGACCCCCGCTCTTTTTGAACAGTGGGGCCCAAGACGGGCCCGAGAGGCCTCCCAGCCTCTCCTGAAGATTCTCCACCCCGCCCTTTTTGGCCCAAGATGGCTCCAAGAGAGCCCTAGATAGCCCAAGATGGCCTCCAAAATGGCCCAAGATAGCCAAGCATGGCTCAAGATAGAGCCTCCGACAGATCTCCAAGAGGCCTCAAGACAGCCTGAATATGGCCCAACATAGCCGAGCATGGCTCAGAATAGCTTCCGACAGCCTCTAGCCGAGCATGGCTCAGGATAGCCTCCAAGAGGCCTCGGGAAAGCTGGCAATCAATTCTGGACGGGCCGGTGGGGATACGCGAAGCGTCAAGAATTGAGAGGAAAGTCGGCGGCCGCATGCTGGAGGACGGGATGCTGACCTGGTAGAGGCTGGGAGTCCCGCGAGCGAAGCGGCAACACGATATTGAACGAGAGATGTGGCCGGCGCCTCGGCGAGAGCACGGGTCCCAGTGAAAGCTGTCTTCTCTTTCCGCCGTTTGCCCTCCCCTCCTCCTGCTCCTCCGTGCCCTCCTTCCGTCTTCCTGGGCCCCCTCCTGTTTCTCGCAATCCTCACCGTTCCTTCCTCTTCCTCCTTTTTCTCCTCCGTCCCGCCTCCTGCTCCTTTTCCTTCTCTGCCACGCGGGCCCATTCGGCGCGCGGGCCAGCCGAGCCAAGGACGACGGCGACGATGACAACGACGACGGCGGCGACGACGACTCCCTGAAAAACTTGACCTCCGAACCCGTCCACGATGCGTTCTGACCATCAGTTTCACGAGAACCCGGCCGCGGCGACGGGGGAAAGTCCCAGAGTCTTAGAAAAACAGCAAACAGTTTTTGTTATTACAAAACAGAAGAACTCAGAAGGCGCGCGGGCGGGTGGAGGGGTGCGACAGAGAGGCACACAGAGAGAGAGAGAGAGAGAGAGAAAGAGAACGAGAGAGAGAGAGAGAGAGCGAGAGAGAGAGAGAGAGAGCGCGCGGAGGAGGAGGAGGAGGAGGTGGAGGAGGACGAGGAGGAGGAGGAGGAGGAGGAAATGGACCTGAGCGGCCCTCATGGCCGCTGCGCGACCTCGGAAGCCTTGCCACGTGCAATGATAGACGCGTGGGGCTCTCGTAAGAGGTAGGGGCGGAAGTGCAAGGAGTAAGAGAGAATCTGGAGGGCGAGGACAGGGAAAGCGCGGAATCCTCGTGTCATGGGGTCTGGACAGGATGGGAACAACTGGGAAGACTGCACATCAAATTTTGGTTCCCGGGGCCGCGCGCCGACTGTGAAGTTGGAAGAGAGAGCGAGAGAGAGAGAGCGCGCAGAGGAGGAGGTGGACGAGGAGGAGGAGGAGGAGGACGAGGAGGAGGAGGACGAGGAGGACGAG